CTTCTCTTCATAAATCTAATAACGGCACCCCTCAATAACATAGCCAAGTCATCTCATTTATTATTTCTCTTTCCCCTCAAGCGCATCGCCTTACTTAAAGTCCCCCTGTGTTGAAAATCAAGCTTTTAATGATGTTTACATGTCCATGTGATGTTTTTAATTTGGGTTAAGACAAACCATGTGCAAATTCATGTCAACAAGCTTGACAATGCTGAGACGGTCTCAAAAACGCAGTTTGAAATCGCTGGTGTTTCTGACGTCACAAGCTACCTTCAATCACGTAAACAATCATCGTAAACAATCACGTAATGTATCACCTCAGAAGACTTTTATTAACCCCCCCTTCAAAATCAGAACCGCCATTCACTACCATTATAAAGCTTGGAATGATATCGCAATGATATTTTTTAGCATAACTCCGATTGTGTTCATCTGAAAGAAGTAAGTCATATACACCTAGGATGGCTTGAGGGTGAGTAAAACATGGAGTAATTTTCCTTTTTGGGTAAACTAGCCAATCCCTATAAACATTTAAGCGAAAAGAAATTCAAAGGATAAGTTAAATGTTTTCACACTCGAGAACACATCAACGGCTTATTCATGCCTCTCATTACATCACCAAAAGAAAACAGAGAGGAAAAAAACTACACAAAGGCATCTTCAAACGCACAAGGAAAAGAGCTGTTACTGTTTGGAATGGATAAATCAGAAGCTTTTCTCTGTCTGTAGAAGAAATCCTCCACTTGGAACACAAATGAGACATGTTAAAAATGTTAAGCCCACGGCACTGGTGTAACCAAACGATAGGCTTTTCAACCTCTTGCCAACAGCGCTGTCAGCATGTCTCATCACACAATGTGGGTCTGGGGCTCGGCCAGGTGTGATTTCTGTTCAGCGGAGCTGCAGCGGTCGCACTCACAGTGAGAAAAACCATGCTACAATCTTATTACAAAAGATCACAGGTGATTTACAGTGATCCACAACAGCTCGACGGTCCAACATAAACATTCTCTGTTTTAAGCTCAAAAGCAACCTGCGGCTTCAAGTTTCTTCCCCTTACGATCATTACCAACCGTTTCAAAGAAAGCTCTGGCAATAAATTGCTAAATGGAATGATAATGCAAATCAAAATTACATGTTTAGTTCTTTAAAATGAATCAAAGGGTTCCAAAAAACATCAGAAACAGATTTCAAAATATCCATGCACAAGTCTATATGATTTAATATCTATGGCTCAATAGAAGGACTTTTTAGCCCATTTATGGACACATTAAGCTTTTAAAGGGGTCATGAACTGGCTTTTTGGTTTTTGCATTCAAAAACATCAAAATGAATAAGTAATAGGCTATTTTGTACCCTAGTTTTGAGCCTAGCTGAAAAACGCTGGGTTTTTACGGGCGTCTCGCACTGAAGACAAGGAAGTAAACGCCCATTGCTGTGAGTGGATATTATAATGAGTTTCAACTCACCCCTCGATGCACTTGGGGGAAATTGTTTTGAAAACGTCCAAAGTTGTAAAATGGCAACCGGAATGATTCACCCATACATGTTTGACCCAGAGTCCGTGTGTTGCACCATTCCTGTCAGATCCAATATAGACGGCACAGCACCGTTCTTTACTCTTAATCGGTCTGCAAATCCAGTCTTGTTTACAAAACAATCCTCAGTCAAATGAAGTGAACAGCCGGATGATATTTTACACTCGTCAGCTGGAACGTCATTAAAAATAAAGTTTAGATAAAGTCCTATTGGAATCCAGAGAAAGCTTATGCAGCAACTGTCTTCTTCCACAACCAGGCACTGCACTATATTTAGTATTGCTCGGTAGCTCGATCCGGTTTGTCATCACGAGGTAGACAGCTATGTTATTTAGCTATGCGTGTAATGCGCAAATCGGTGGGCGGGGCTAAACCAGCCGTGTTGAAGTAGTTGATCTTCTTCTGCGGGGGTGGTTTTATCCTATTTGACATCATAGTTCCCAACTTTGAAAAACGAGTCGTTTGCTAAGGCGGGTGCCAAAAAAGCATTTATTGGACTAACAAGGACGTTTTCAGATCTGAAACTTACAAGATGACCTTTTAGATGTCAAAAGCTCAAGGAAATTTTGATTTCTCAGTTCATCACCCCTTTAAATAGTAGTCTGTAATAATAATAATGGCAATTGGCAAGCCCCGCTAATAATTTGATGGTCCTACAAAACCAATTCCAGTTCTTCCAAAGATAAAAGCAAATATGTCTGTAGCAATTAACTTTGGTCAGCTGCGAAACCATCACTCAGGCCACGTTTACACTGGCACGTTCTGAGCCACTTCCAAATGTGGTTTTAAATCAGATATATATTGGATATCTGAACATCTAACCTGATTCTAAAACACATACACCCGGTTCTCCTTGGAATCCCCAGACACCACAAGAGGCGAGGGCGACGCATTTGCCACAAAGAAAACTTTTAAATGCCACATTATGAAGCAGACAATATGCGCTCGCACTCAAACACCCCTTTTTTACTGAGGTGGAAACTTGATATATGGTTTCAAAATTGCATGCACACAGAACCATATAGGAGCATAGAAACTGGTTGTCAACCTTTGCCTAGTGAATTTTATAAATAAAACAGCTTCATTACTGAAAGATAAGATACATTATTTTTCTCAACAACTAGGAGATAACTCGATCTAAACAAACCGTAGATAAAACAAACTTTAAATTACCAATATTTTCCGTACTAGGATATCCGTTCAGTCAGTGGCCACTCAACTTAAATTAGATAAATAATTTTAGTAAGGACATTCAAAATCTGAAAGTCAACCATGTCGCATGGTAAAGAGATTACCAACAAAATCTTTTTGGGTGAGGATTAATGTAAACAGGACACCAGTCATGTCTAAAAGAGAGGGTTAACAGGCGGGACCACAAAAACAATGCACATGGTCAAAAGATCAAATCTGTGCATTAAGCAGTGACAAGTCATCATGAATAAACCTGGGCACTGAAGCTGCATTTTAAAAGCTGCACACACACGCTGCCTCAACACTAAAAACGCCAGCGTTATTCGTTCATATCTCAAGAGATCCAGGACTGAATGCCAGAGTGGACCCTGAGGCGTTCATTTTCAGCAATTACTAACCGCAGCATATTATTCAGTGCTCCCGACAATGCGTGCAAGGATCCATTCATCACCTGGCTTTACAGTACCATCTGGACACGGGGCTGTTTGCGTTTTTAAAGTGAACCCATTACTGGAGGGTGGGCTGTAATATACATCTAAATTAATCATCTAACCTAATGAATTGACTCTCCATTGCTATGTGCTTTCAATTACTTATGGTAAATGAAAAAAATCGGATTTGTTTTGTTCCAAGAGCAGGAAGTTGAAAAATCAGAAGAAAACCTAAAAAAAAAAATGTATCTTGGTCAGAAAGTGAGGTAGCAGCTCATTCCACACGAGTCTACAGTCAAGTCAAGGGCATGTTACAAGCTGAGAATATCAAATGACAACCGGAGAAAGAGGAAGATGTTTTATGCATTCCTTCAGAGAGAGCCAGAGCATTCAGACGTAACATGCAGGAAATGTTCAAAATTCATGAGTTCTACAGAATGGGGTAGTGAGAGGAAGAAAAGGACAAATCTGCATCTTCATTAATTAGAATCTCAGGGTGCAGCGGCAATTTTCCCGTTCATACAACAGAAGCGCCATAAAGAATTATCTGTATAATTGAAAAACACTATTTTGAGTAATGCCTGTAACCGTACACTGTAAAAAAAAAAAAGAAGTTAAATTTATGGTAAAATAACGGCAGCTGTGGTTGCCAGAACTTTACCGTATAAAATACGGTAGCAAGACTTTACGGTAACAAGGTTTTACAGACTTAGCTTAAATTTACAAAAATAAACCGTATTTCATTATCTGATATAATGTTAAATTTTCAACCAATTGAAGTATTAATATGTTTTTTGTACCATAGTAATACACTGACAACCAACAACCACAGCAGTGATGAGTCAGATGATATATGGAAGCTCATAATGCAGCTCTTCCACAAGAAATATTAATATATAGAAGCTGCACAGTGTAATTCACTCAAGCATTAAACACCATCATGGTAACATAATGCATTTAATGCAAGATCTGGCAACTGGTCAACATTAGACAAACATATTGGTATGATTATTATTCATAAAGGAGTTTGGGGGAGAAAAAAAACGGGAGGAACCTGGGAAAAACAGGAGTGTTGACTGGTATGATTTAAAGGGGTCATCAGATTTTGTTGCTTGATTACCAATAACAATAATGTGACAGTAGCTTAACATACCTGCTATAGTGTCTGTAAGAGCAAATGCATGGATCTAACATGATACACATCCGTTTTCTTTCTCAATTATTTATGTTTACTTAAGAAATAAGCAATGAGTTTACTTATGCTCATAATTTTGCATACAAATTTTTAATTCGGTATTTGTGCGCACAGAAAACAGCTTGAATGGCTTAAACTAGATTGAATATTTAAACTGACAGAATTTTAAAAATATTTTCAAACGATAAACTTTTACTCTATGATGATTAAACTTTAACTACAACTCCTATAACTTGACATTACATGTACTGCAATGTGACAATCATCGATGCTGAAATGATATATCCCTAAAGTATTCCTCAAAGCTGTTGTTTGCCCTTTAATTTGCTAATACTTGAAAATTCAAATAGTTAATTTAAAAAAAAAAGAAAAGAAAAGAATGGTTGTCATTACTGTATTTTAACATCACAGTGCAAAAAAGTTTTTATGTGCTTAAAACTAGGTTTTATAACTTGAAACCATGAGAGAAAAAAATTCTCTTGATTTTGAGTTGAACTATGACCCAATATTCTCTTTGACCCAATCGTCTTTGCTGACAACATTAGGCCTTAACGCCTTTCATTTTAAAAAGGAACACGGATGCACATAGACGAGCCAGCCACTCAACCCAAGTACAAGAATTACTTGTCTGAACATAACACTCACATTCCCGTGGTTTACAAAGCCATGCTTGCTAGCAATCCGGTTAGCTTCCTGCTCTCCCCCTGTGATGTGGACGGCCCATGTGTTGGTGTAAACCTTCTCTCCAATGGATGGCTGTGGCCCAGAGGTCACGAGAATCAGTAGTGTACAGAGTGTCAATGAGGCAAGCCTGAGATCCATTAGACACAATGGAGGGAACCAAGGCAGGACTTCCTAATTTCACCAAGTCCGTCAGCACAGCGGCCCACTGCTATATCTGTGCTGCCCCGGGCACATGCAGAGACGGAGCCGAGGAAGAGAGATGGACTCGGATCGCTTCAGGAATCACCTGGGGAGAGAAAAAGATGGAAGATTGGAGAATGACTCATTTAAGTTGCAGGTGCAAGAGAATAATTGAGGATATGAATCACAGATGAGCTTTAATACCGTGGAACTGACTAACTAGGCTAGTTTAAAAATTAACTGCACACCCAAACTACATTTTTTTCTGGTGACAGGCAGCTAAATGCAGGGGTTTGTTCCAATCAGTTAAAAGGACCTTAGTCATATATTTTGTTAATAGAAATGTAAAGGAGGATACGAGGGAGTCTATATTTTTTTCTGCCTGCATTTTCTGTAAAGCAGCATTGAATCGGTATTGTGAATAATGTGAATTAAATATGTCTACACATAATCAGAGGTGACTGTGTCCAAGTTTAGTGATAAAATACCTTTCCACAGTACAAAAAAAGTCTGACAGTGAAAAGTAAAGGGCGTTCACGCTGACAGATTTGCAGGGATCAAGGTAATTTTTCTCAAATAGAGGTGACTTGAGCAACAGCAAATTTACAACTGTACAGCATCATGTCACATGATCTGCCGCCTGATACAGCTGGATTGTAGTCGAGTATGAATGCCTGCGACTAAGCAACAGTAAATATATTTCTGCAAACTTTAATCGCTATCCAACTCCCCTTTAGATCCAACATAGCATTAATACTGTTCAACCATCGACTGAAAACCACACAGAGTCAAATTACCTAAAAGAGGCCAACAAAGTATTTTTGCTGAAAATGAAAATATAAAAAAGGAAGCTTTCTGACTTCCATAAATAATGTGCCAACCAAGTCATCATCTTTGCACTGTAAAAAAATATTTTCAAGATTTGTTATCACAAAATGTTTTCTTTTGTCAAATCAACTTAAATAATTTATTTAGTTGAGATAACTTATTATTTTGAGTTTCTGATGATTGAATCAAACTCCTTCATTGTACTAACTCACTATTTCCAGTTCAATCAACTTAGAATTTTAAGGCAATCAGGTTACTTAATTTTTTAAGTTAAACCAACAATATTTTTTTTACAGTGTGCTGGTAAGCCACCAGTTCACCCAAATCTGAAAATTCTGTCAGTATTTACTCACCCTCATGTTGTTCCAACCCCGTAAGACGTTCGTTCATCTTCGGAACACGAATTAAGATATTTTTGATGAAATCTGAGAGCTGGATCACTCCTCCATACTAGACCATAGGCTTCTTGAGGGATTGAAACTTGCCGGCCTCGAAAAGTTATTAAAGACATCGTTAAAATAGTCCAAATCCCCAAAAATAACAACTTTATTTCAACTATTCATGTCCTTCTCTCTGGGCCTCGAGTCAGGTTAGGCTACTAGTTTAACAGCGTATGATCTGTTGTTGTACGTCACACGCATCACACACGAGTCACGACCAGCTAGGGGTGGGCGATATGGAAAAAATATCATATCACGATTTTTTTAGGAAAATCACGATCACGATTTTTTATCACGATTCTTTTTCAAGTTTGTTTTAATATTTTGCAAGTGGCTGTTCATTACAGCCAAACTAATGTCCCTATGTTAAAAACAAAGCCTTAGGTAACAAAAGAAAAAAGAAAGCCACACATTTAGGCCAGTGGCGAAGATAAAAATCTTTGTCATCATTTTCTTTGTTATTAAAAAAATAAGACAAGATAAACATTACACAAATTAATATTCATATTAAATAAATAGTGCTTTATTTTTTCAGAAGGTGTATTTAGCAGTAGCATTGAAGTAATTAAATGAACAAATATGAAATTAAAACTCTACATAGACTTCACTGAATAAATTGATTCTTATTAAAGATATATTAAAGTTCTCAGTCAGTGAGTGATTTTCTCCTTGTGTTTTTTTGTTTTTGTTTTATTAACACTAAAGGGATAGTTCCCTCAAAAATGAAAATTGTCTTAATTTACTCTCTCAAGATGTTTTAAACCCGAATAAGTTTCTTTTTTCTTCTGTTGAAAATAAAAGTTATTTTGAATAATGTGGGTAACCGAACAGTTGCTGGTCTCCTTATAGTTTTTTTTATAGGTTCTCTCCTGGAAGTTAATGGGGACCAGCAACTGTTTGGTTACCCACATTAAAAAAAAAAATTGTCTTTTGTGTTCAGCACAAGAAAGAAATTAATACAGGTTTGGAACAACATTAGAGTGAGTAAATAATGACGGATTTTTGTTTTGTTTTGTTTGAACTATCCCTTTAAGGACAAGCGGCAGTAGGCTACTATTTATTCCTGTTGCTTTTAGACCAGCACGCGACGCGTTTAATATAGACGCATATTACACCAGATATTCTCTCAAATGTTTGCTTTCACTTTAGACATAGCCTGTTTATGTAAACATTGTGTGTATTTAACAGTATTAGCTTAATAAGACTCGAGAGATAACTCAGTCCAGTATTCAGGCGCTGTTTGACAGTGCCTGTGAGCGTCGGGGGTTATGCGGTCAGGAAAGCGCACGTTAGAACAGCGCATCAGCGCGTGAATTAAATGTTTAACCGGCAAGGCTTATGCAAATAATGAACTTTTGTGAATTGCAGTGTCCCGTACCTATTCCTTAACGTGTGATCATGTGTAGGCTACGTCGCGTTGTACAGTTGAGAGACGGAGGCGCCAGAACTGAACTGATAGAATGCACTGTAACACGATACTACGATATTTTTTCAAAAGCAGATCGTGGAGACATTTTAATCGTCCACGATTAAAAATCGTCATATCGCACACCCCTACGACCAGCGTCGGCCAATAGCGAGCCTACGTGTGACGTTTAACCGACTAGAGGCCCAAAGAGAAGGAAGTGAATAGTTGAAATAAAGTCGTTATTTATGTTTGTTTTTGTGCACAAAGGGTGTTCTCATCGCTTGATAAACTTAAGATTGAGCCACTGTGGTCACTTGGACTATGTCTTTAATAACTTTTTGAGGCCGGCAAGTTTCAATCCCTCAAGAAGCCTATAGACTAGTATGGAGGAGATTTCATCAAAAATATCTTAATTCGTGTCTTACAAAGGTTACGGACTTGGAACAACATGAGGGCTAGTAAATACTGACAGAATTTTCATTTTTGGTGAACTATCCCTATAACTAAAGATGGGAGGGAGCACAGTTGACTTGATCTTCCACAGAAATATTCATCAACATCCATGTTCAGTGACAGACTGAACAGTCTCGCTTCAAAACCACCATCCTGCTTCTCCTCTCGTATGACTAAGCAAACTCTGATGCAAGATTCTAGTTGACTTGAGGCTCAACTTGCCGTTTCATAAGGGAATAAATCAGCGTACTCGGTTCAGCCTGCATTTTGTCCATTCATTTGTCTAAGGCAGAGAAAAGATTTATTCGGAAAACATTTTCAGTGACTGGTGGGATTTGGCTTGCAATTTATTTGATCTTATCGTAACAAAACAAAAAAAAACTAAGAATAAAAACCCTTGCTTGTTCTAAACAAGTCTGGTTCAATTCAGCAAAACTATATGATGATTAAATGTAGGAGGAGCGATTCTGTCCATACACTCAATGGCAAATTTTACAAATCATATAAACCCTTGTTACACAGTCTAATTTTTGTGTAAAAGCGGGGCAATTGAAATTTTGTCCCATGATCTGATAAGACAACTCTAATACATTTTCATTATGTTTGACGTGAGGGCGAAAAAAAATGACAACAACAAAACAAAACAACAGCTGATATTTCTTTTTAAGACAGAGATTTTACTCTATTATTCTACCTAACAAATGTGGAGCACATTTCCGTGTTGGCTCAAATGACATGACCCTGTTTACCTGCTTTTTGATAGACTCTCAAGTCATTCTCACCATAACAATGTCAAAAGAATGCAGTCGGCAGGGTTAAACTGCACTTTATGGGAATCCAGAGTCAGACGCACTACCTGTCCTGTTCTACCACAGATTTCCAAATAATAGGCTACTGTAAATTCTGAAACATACAGGATTTTCTTACAAACACTTTTGCAATTTAAAAATCAAAATGCTGTATAAAACCTTTATACTTGTTTTAACTAGTCATAATGTTTTCATTAAAAAGATTATATTAGTAAATCACTCTGTAAATCTTTTTTTTTTTTCAGATTTGAAAGCACAACACAGAAAAACAGACTACGTAAAGCCTGTAATTGTATTACGAGTTTAGTAAGACTCATTGAGATTTACTGTAAAGTAAACAGCTTTTTTGATCACCAAACACTGTTTATGAGAACACAAAAATATTGCGACAAATGTTTGACAACCGAATCAAATAATTTACTACACATGCATAAACAAATTTAGACTACATATACTAAGACCATAATTTCCACAAAGTATTTCACATAAAACAATGCTTCAGCAACCTCAAACCTTTTGTCAAAACCTTCAGTTATAAAGACCTTCAGATAAATAAAAAATAAACTTCACAGGAAACATGCAACAAAAAAAATCTGTTTACAATCAAGTTCTTAACGTGGACGTTAAATTACCATCACTAAGCAATAGACTACAGGTCACTAGACTATTAGGTGAAGAGAAGAAAATAAAGCAATACTCACTTGAGCACTGAACGTGTGTCTAACCCAGATTAAGTAGGTTAAGCGAGATGTGCGTAACTTTCCTAACAATTTAAAGCTGTGCCAGCCCTGATCTCAAAGTACACCCACTCATGACATCACAACATGGTTAACACTTAACAGGGAGAGGAAACCGGCAGTGAGACGACTGACAGTAAGTGCGGACCACTTGGGAAGAAAAAAAGTCAAGACAGGAAGCAACTTGTGGGACTTTTAGAAGCCCATTTTATCTGAAATTTAAAGGGAATCTAAATGTTGTCAGACTGCTGTAAGTATATGCAATCCATTCTTTTGGCAAAGAAGAGGCAAACTTTTGTTTCCGGGCAAGCATGACAGAGGGATTGGTAATGGATGAAACAATCTCACGAGGAAAGAGAATGACTTTTTATTTCAGGGGGAAAAAAACAGAAACAGGACAACTCTAACTTTAACATCGGTATCTAAATACTTAATCTAGATAACAACACTTTACTTTGATACAAATCACTTAAATTATATTTAAAAAGTTGAACACTCCACCTTACAACAACAGCACACATTGATAAATGACAAATTCCAACTCACAGCAAAAGATCAAACCAGTTGGTAAGTTATATCTGCAAACAAATTATGCTTTTCTCAGAATTCTCTGAGATATTGATGTCAATTAACTTTTATTCAACTGGTCTCAGGTTGATTTTACGTATTAAAATATTAGTTTTATTCTTGTTTTGTTTGTCAAACAATTCATGTTATTGTCAATAATCACTAGGAAGACAGCTTCAAATGAATAATATGAATAGCAGTAGGCTAAATAAGTAAAAATGACAGCAATTTAAAGTTGTAATGCAAACAAAGTACAAAAGCATTATGCACATATTTTAAGCGTGCAAACACAAGTTGATGAACTTAACTTGTCCAAACATCTTTTTTGTCCTCATTTAACATCTAAATAAAATATAAATTAAATTGAGAAATGTGTGGCATGTCAAACGTGCGTGTTGTTTCAAAAATAAATTAAATGTAAACCAATTAATATCCATATCGCAATGAAATTACGTTTTATTAGGTGTCCAGATACTTTAGGCTGAACTGTATGTTTCGAAAACATATTATATTGACATTTATTTATAAATGTAATGCATCAGCTGTGCAACGGTGTGTCTATATTTATAAGTACATTCAATAGAACATGATATTGTTTTCAGATGAAGGTAGCATTCAAAGAGGTAACGTTAGTTATAAAACAATCGTATGTTGTTCACATAAGTTTGTAGACTACTTAGTCGAGTGCGGAACAAGTCACAAAACTAACGTTAAACCACCCTCTTGGTTTACTTCATAACTAGCTGCTACTGAATGAATATCTTACCTCAACAGCATCAGCTTCTAATCTTCCGTCGTCTTGGACACGACGTAAATCCACTAACGTTAAACCTGTCCACGGACACGACGAAGAGTCTTCCGTGTTTGACAAATACAGTCCAAAAACAAAGCGAAACTCAAGACACTTACGAAGTAGTGTTGTCAAGAGGACAGAATGAAATGTCCTGACGTACTGGACTGTCCTAAAGTCCACGCGCACTCATCTAGACTCATCTACTGTACAATAGGGAAACTTTGCGATAGGTTTGCTCGCTTAGTCGCACGGAACGCGACGCTAAGGCATCACTGAGACCCGGTTCGTCTGTGCCACCTTTGGGCCGATACGCCAACATAGTTACGTACGCATGCTAGAACGTTTCAGAACGGCGGAATCAAGTAAACAAACAAGATATAAAAAAAGACATCTATCCAGGGGACTGGACTGGAGAGATGTCTACGTACTGCTTCTCAGGAAATACGTCACACTTGTACGCAATGAGAAGCGACGTCAGGACGCGTCCACTTGAGCGCCTCATGCGGTGTTTGATTTTTTGGCGCCATCTAGTGGAATCCTGTGCGCAGTTCACTTTCAAACACACGATGTTAAACAAATACATGAAAAATCAATGTGCTTACAATATAAATACTGTACGATTTAAATGTATTTTTATATCATATTTATTAAAAGTTTGCAGGTTTGTGTCCATTTAAATTGAAGTAAATGTCCATATGTTATACTATCTCTAAGGAAAATGAAGCACATTCATTGACTGCAAAGAGTAATAAACTGATCGTTTTCACGTTATGTAATTACACCATCTACCATCTATCCCCATGTGACCCAAGGTACCCCATGTTTACTTAGGCCTAATTGTGGTAGCCTATATTGATAAAAGAAAACCAACTAATATAAGTTCATGCATTAATTGATTGATTAATTGCGGTTTTAATGTAAATATATTACATATGATGGTAGGAACATGAAAGATGTAGACATAGGAATGACCCATACAACAAACAAATATACAGTATATCTGTTGTTTCTACAGTTATAGAAAAATATAATTATTGTAATCAAAATAAAATATTTAAGGAATTGATTGGGGCAGGATTCTTTGAATTTTTTTTTAATTCATAAATATCTTTACGTTCTATATTTACGACTTTAAAATTATCTTTACGACTTTAAAATTATATATATATATATATATATATATATATATATATTGCTGGGGTAAACGCATGCGCAGTTCATTACATTCAAACCAATGACATGTTGGATTGTGTTCGAACTTCGCAGAATAGACCACAACAACAACAACTGATATTTGATAATTCTTCTTTATTTGAACATAAATTTGTTCATAGGACTTCATAGGTATTTTTTTATTTTATTTTTACAATACCTAAATATGTTAATTTTCTATTTTCTAAATATGTTAACTTAAATATGTTAAAAAAGCACAACAGTCTCACCACTCCTTGAGTACGATGATGAAAAGCAGCCCTTCAAGTTGGAATGTAAATTAGGCGGGTAAGTGCTTCCTCTCTCGTGCACCCATCAATTAGATGGGGAACATCTAAGCACAGCTGACTTAATGATCCAGATAATGAAGCTGCTGAAGCCCAAACTCATTATGGTCACGTCAACTGGGATCACGTTTCAAAGTGTATATTTCATATTTCCCTTCTTTCTTTCCATAATGGTAATAATATTCCAGCGTCGTTGGTTTGTTGACCAAAGGTCAATCTGTTTTATTTGTCAGTAGTCTTTGTGAAAGGCAATTCAATAGACTGACAATTCATTATGTAGATGGACAGTTTGTAGCTAACTGTATCATTATGAATGCATTAGAAACATTGAAATGCTTTTGCCCCTTAACCTAAAAGCTACAGTTCTGTCTGCAATTATGAAAAGAGACATTCTTATTAGATTTGTTTGGAAAGCTCTTGGACTGTTGGACATAAACTTAAAATTAATGCATGTTCATATAGTGCACAGAAAAAAAAATAGAATTTGGCTTGTTTATTTGTGCATTACTAAAGTATCAGATGAATCCACGTATACAGAACCATGCAAGAAAAAAGCATATATCATCGGAGTGAAGTCTGTCGTTTTTACCGGAAGGAGCAGTGTGAATTTTGAATTAACATTATGAATTTTTACATTTTTAAAAATGTAAACATGCACGAATGAATTGTTGACAATAATAACATGCATTGAGAAAATACTGTAAATTTTCATTTCATGCTGACTTTAAATAATGCTTAAAGTTTATTTGTAAATGATGTAAAATGTAAATTTTGTGCTTGATTTGACATTTAATTATAAAAGTAAGAATTAAATAAAGAGGAACACATAAATAGGTTATAATCTTTATAATAGAATCCACAATGTGCAGACAAGAAGTAATAAACATTTTGTAAAGCTGCTGGCAAACCATAACGATGGAGCCTGGTTCCTGCCTGGAGACACAAATATATTGTTTAGTAAAATGACAGATTTATGACTACAGACAACTATGCTCAATTCTTTCTAACTACCAACATATATTTATTTAAGGGTACAAATAAACTGCATGACAGGAGGTTTAGCTGTTCTCAGATCAACTGAAAAGGATGGTACTTCTTACCTCTGTGCTCAAGCATGAGTTCGCCTTCATACTGGGCCATGCCAAGTGCTTGCCTTTGTTCACTGTCTAATTCTGCCCACTGCTCCTCTGTCACGGCACACGCTTGTTCAGAGCTCAGCCAAGACAGCTGCGTGGCACTGAATACCACCTGCAATAATGAGACGTATGTCTGATGAACAACTGTTGGTGAAGATCACAGATCTTATTTACGTTGATCTTTGGTTGGAAGCTCTTAGTTTCAGGCAAGTCATCTAAGAAACATATATGATCACTTAAAGGAGAACTCCGGCGAACAATGAACCTTTTTTCTAATAAAACATCGGTACATAGTCAATCGTTCTCTGAGTTTTGTTTTCATGATAATCAAATGTAAAGAGTTTTATCTCTAAAAACTGTTTAGCGTATAATGCTAGTAATGGGGGCATTGACTAAGTAAAAAGAAATCGCTAGTTTATACCACTAACAAGGCTCAAAATAGCCCCACACTAACGCAGTAACATAATAAGGCTCCATACATGCAAAACGAAGCATTGAGAACATTGTAAGTGTACAGACCGTTTAATAAGAAGATACTTTATGAAGACAGTTCACTTCACGTATACAGACAGGAGCCATCTTAAAAAATAGTCTCGATAAGTCGATCCCCGAACGCCGTCAGAAGTTCCCTGAACTTCATACAGTTCTGATCACTCAGCACGACGTTCGTGGTTTGACTTATCGAGACTATTTTTTAAGATGGCTCCTGTCTGTGTACGCGAAGTGAACTGTCTTCATAAAGTATCTTCTTATTAAACGGTCTGTACACTTACAATGTTCTCAATGCTTCGTTTTGCATGTATGGAGCCTCATTATGTTACTGCGTTAGTGTGGGGCTATTTTGAGCCTTGTTAGTGGTATAAACTAGCGATTTCTTTTTACTTACTCAATGCCCCCATTACTAGCATTATACGCTAAACAGTTTTTAGAGATAAAACTCTTTACATTCGATTATCATGAAAACAAATCTCAGAGAACGTTTGACTATGTACCGATGTTTTATTAGACCAAAGGTTCATTGTTCGCCGGAGTTCTCCTTTAAGGCCCAAGACAAATACTGTATATTTTTTTTAAAAAACAACTAGCAGCTGGGTCGCTTAAACAACCATACCAACCAACTAAACGAGTAATCGACCTTAACTGGAGGATGACCTCCATAATCGGTCTTTGTCAGGTGACGTCGCACTCGTAATACACGAAGTGCATTATGGGCGTAGCCGGCATTTGTAAGGTATCGATGCTGGGGTATTTGGGGGTTTTTTTCATTCTTTTTTTCAAACTAAACCATCCTTAACATGACACTATCATCCTCATCAATACAGCAAACCTATCTTTGCTGTTACTAACTTTACAGGATTGATTTACATTCCTATCGAAGGATACAGTAACTTGGTGAAATGTCCGCAGGCTTTAAGAGATGTATAGTTTTTAAATTGTTCACTGGTAACGTTATATGCGCTTATACCATAAACAAGATAGTTGACAATGCCCGAGTATGAGGATGAGAAAGCAATGCGGGATCAGCACTCCAACTTACTGCAGTCAGCTGAGCTCATATGGATCTATGTTCTGAATGGATGACAATTTCTCCAAATAACGGTACCTGCCATATCTATCGAGTTTATTACGGTATGCCATTTTCTCAGTTTTCTATTGCTTCTGCAGTTTTGCAAGTTATTTACTTGTTATCTCTACTCTCGTAATCCCTTCAATGATTACTGTCAGTAGCGATACCTCAAAAATGGCGTCACACACAACCAAACCCACGTTTGTTGGTTTGGGTTTCACCTGGTTCTGCTCAGATGCTTCTCTTTGGCTCGGTTTACCCCTGGTATTTAAGGGCCCTTTCACACCTACCTTGTTTGGTCCGGACTTTCTGACTTTTTAGTTTGGTCCGAATCAAAATTATAGGTGTGACCACAGTCCAGACCAAACACAGTCCGACAAAGAGAGGTAGTCTCGGTCCGGATCAAACTGAAAAAAAGGTTTGTTTCGTCTCTAGTGTGAAAGCATTTACTGTATGTATGGTTCGGACTTTCAGACCTTTTACAAGAAGTTCTGGTGGTCCCCAAAAAGCCGAAAAAACTGAAAATGGCAGGAGAAATGAGCCGTGTAGCACATGGGGAGATGAGGAGACGAGGTTTTTAATTGAAGTATGGTCTAATGACATAATGAGAAGTCAACTAGCTATCTTCTTCTCCTTTCCTGCCGACAACGATAAAATGTTCGCACGACGAGGACGTTCATTTGGCGAATTTGAACTAGCCTTGTGTATAGTTGGTGCTGCGGGCAGGCCTAATTGTGCCATAAAAATAACAATATAGTTGCAACGATATGCGCCTGTTCATTCATGTTGTCAAAGTTACTTGGCGAATTGACAACACGCTGACGTCAGACTTCCAGAGGTAGTCGAAAACGCATTCGATCGGATTGCTTTTGTAGTGTAGATGCTCATGTGTTCGAATGGGATTGAACAGGAACAGACACAAAAGTCCGCCTATGGACATAATGAGTAAATATTATGGGAAGCACGGGATTTAAACTTTGTCGGATGAAGACCCAAGTTTGGTTTGAAGACGAAAAAAGGTACCAAACACAATGTCCTCTCATCGTTCCTGATTTCGAACACGCACTCACAGCGTTCACTGTGGTCTTGTGCTATCAGAGCCGAAACAAAGGCTGCTGCTCTTTGCAAGTTTTTCCGTTGTCTCTGGTTGTGTATTCATATGTAAATTACACAAGCTTATTTTGTCCATCAAAAGATCTGAGAAAAGCCCATAGATTTACCCACCCATATACCCTCCTCTTGAAATCAGGACAGAAGAGGTTGAAAGTGGACAGTCGAGACAGATTAAAACACCAGTTGTACAAACGGAAATGTGTCTCCCTCGTCTACTTGTGATCCGAACGGCCAAAACACATATTAATAGCTACCATGTATAAATAGGGCCTTAGGGGGTATTTTCACAAGACGTAATGGGCTATATGCACGCATAAGTTCCGCATTTGACGTAAGGATGCTCGTCCATTTCCGGTTGTGGAGATTAAAGCGGAGGAAAACCGAGGAAAACGGGCTTATGGCAGAGTCTTCAAAATTTACTGTCCTCCCATCTTTGAAACGAAATGTACATACGTTTAGATGTAATTTTATATATAGTTATGTTTATTTAATATAATTTTAAAAAGAAGCATAAACACAACGAGGGGTGTCTGTTTTATCTGTTTTTGTGACTAACGTTTCTTTAGTATAACCATGGAGTATAAAATTCAATATAAATTCTCGGTATTACATTGGACTCTATGATCAGCGGAAGTTATCGAGCATCCTTACACCTTCACTGGAAATACCGCCGTGCATAGAGCCCATTGCATTCAAAAACAACAGAATGCATGAGTTTCCAGACCTGTGGGGCTATTTTAATCCAGACATGGCATCTTAGCTCTTTGCAGTTTTTTTTTTTTTGTATTTTTTTTTTTTTGTTTTTTTTCAGGTGCCAGCATTTTGCAATATATTGTTATGTGAATGTCAATATATCAAAAGAAAAAAACATCCTCTGCTTTAAAAAAAAACTCTTTTATTCAAGCTTTATACATTCTTTTATATAACCACTTTGAATGTGGGTAAGTAAGTTTCATCAAAACAACAACATTTTCAGCAAAAAGCTGAGAAAGACTATGTCTGGATCAGATTAATTACGATTATCAAAACACAGATGAAATAGATCGAGTCCATCAACACTCCTAAAGCTTGCACAGTCCTAATCACTCCCTGGGTGGACATTTCATTCCATAATTTATGCTGTTTACTGTTGACGATCACATTATTTTTCATATACATCTGCTTACATATGAGATCGCTCATTTCTGCCTTTTCTTCGCCTGTGTTTTGATCTGCAGAGACAGTACTCGTTCAGCCTTGGTGCGAAAAGAGTTTGTGAAACCATGGCCTGGCATGTTTATCTGAATGTATATGGCTGTAGCAAGGACACTGTTTTAATGTACAAACTGTCTAAAGGTGCAGCCATGTTTACTGTTTTTCTGTGAATTTTGCGGGTCATTTCAATAAGAATCCATGCGATTAGGAATTGCGAATTGGGTTTAAGTTTGCTGTGTGTATTTGTTGCGTTGACCAAGAAAAATCTACTTGGTTTGAAAGTGACTTCTGTTAGATCTATGCTTCAAACAATGCTAAACTATTGACAAGATATGACAAATATGAGAGAAAACATACATAAAGTTGTAGCATGATTAATTAACTATTGAAGTGTAAAAGGATGTCAAATGAAAAAAAAAAAAAATGAAAGAATAAATATCCATCACTCACAGCCAGTTTTCTTGGAGGTATTAAGCTTATTGCTGTTGGCGTCAGTCCTTCGACTTGCTCTTTTATAAGTGCAGACAATACCATATCTTCCAGACCAGCTGAGGACAGAGAATCAATTTGTCTTATTCGTTTTATCAGCCTGCCCATTTTGTCATGTATATATTGTCCATTGAACCGATTGTAATTGAATCCACAGTCAGTACCTGCCAAAGTCCCAATCTCAGTGAAGACCTCAGAGCCCCAGCCGCTGACTGGACCGAAGCCCAGAGGATTGGATAGGCGTGACGTCAGCGCCCCGGTCTGTTGCTCGGAACATGGCAGTACAATCTCCCTCAGAAACAAAGCGGCCACACTAATGGGCACAAACACAACACAATGCTTCCAAAGATTTTAAAGTGAATCATATTACATTTTGGATTGTGTACATGGATTTGTCCACTGACCTTAGGTTGAAAGGATCTAGATGGGAAATTTCAGAGACACTGAAGCCACAAAGTAGATGTCCAAGAGAAACAAGCTCCACCACATCAAGTTCTTCAGGCTTCCGTTTAAGTCGCTTCATTATGCCAAGGACAACTGCTCTCATCTGTTGAAAATAAATAAATAGAAGTGGTGTATCTTCCATGTTCATGATATCAGACTAATCCAAACTACTGTAAAAACATACTTTCTTTGTGCTCCACTCATTGAGGTCTCCAAGATGGGCCACCACCGCCAGACTGGACATGTTGACAGCCTGTAGCTCTCTTTCCCCCATCTCGGTCACTATGCAACCCAGTTCCAACACCTGCTCTGGTTTAAGCTGCTTCACTGGTTTATACACCTAAGATAATAGTTGTTGTGTGAAAAGAAAACATTGAATAATCATTGAACAACAGCATTTGGACAAGCACAAGCGGCTTAACTGGTCTGAGTTCCATCCAAAGTGCTTCACGTTGTTCTGCGTCAAGTGTGTCATCCTGACCAATGAACTCAACACAGGTCTTCAGCTCCCTCCTCTTCATTCGATTCAGCTGATAGGACCTCCAGGCCGAGGGAAATGTCCCTTTAATGTCTGCACAGCTTGGGATGGGCCCTAGTAAGCAACAATATATGATTTACCTATCCGAAGAGGTCATAAATAACATCAGATGGATCCTGTACTCAACTCACCCCTTCTCATCCACCATCGACCTTTAATGATCCTGCGGATGAGACCGTTCATCTTTTCTCGTAGTCCTTTCAGGTCCAAACAAGCCTTTCCCACTTCACTGTTTTTCCAAACCCACTGGCTCATCAGAACCTGTTCAACTGTGTCTCTACCTAAATCAGCCTTGAAGGGAAAATGTAGATGTTCAATGTGATGAAATCCTGCACCTTATTGAGCTTTGGTCGAATGGATAGGCGTGTGTTTCCCTTTACCAGTGGTAGGGATTTTATCTGTTGAGGTGAAAGGGTGAACAGAAGTCTTCCCACATGCTCAACATCCCCAACTGTCCATGTTTTCGGTTCTCTGTTGCAAACAACAGGGACTTTGTCAAATTCCCAATAAAGATGCAGTTGAAGGTCAGAACAAAGAGGTTGTCAGCTAAATGGAAATGGAAAAACTTTGTCTCACCCCAGCATGCTCCTCTCTGTAAGTAAAGCTGATATTTCTCTGAAGGTGTCAGAGGGAAAGCAATATTGTTTTAGCTCGCCCAGTTGTAGTTTCAGGGCCTCTCTGTCTATATGAGATAACACATCACTGTCCAGGAACGCCAGAAGAGGGCCGAGCATGTCCATGAAGGACCCAGTGAGACCATCTTCAGAGATGCCCTGTTAACGGGAGACAAAAGGAATTTTGATTACAATTTATATTATCTAAGTCTGCACAATCTGCTTATTTACACTATTGTTCAATTGTTTAGGCTCTGTAATATTTTCTTACTGGATAAAGCATTTATGCAATATTGAGCGTGACATTTATTAAAAGTGACAATAAAGACATTTATAATTTGTGACAATGTTACGTTGATAATAAGACATGTTTCTTGAGCATCAAATCTGCATATTAAAATGATTTCTGATTGATCATGTGACACTGAGAACTGGCTGTTTTGCCATTACAGAAATAAATTACATCGTAAAATATAATAAAGTAGAAAACAGCTATTTTAAATTGTAAAACTTTATAACTCACAATTGCGAGTTTATATCTTACAATTCTGACTTTTTTCTTGCACTTGCAAGTTTATATCTCACAATTCTGACTTCTTTTTTCAGAATTGTAAGATATAAACTTGCAATTTCAAGTTATAAAATTTTACAATTTAAAATAGGTGTTTTCTATTTTATTATAATTTTACGATGTAATTTATCTCAGTAATGGCTAAACATCTGATTTGATGCTCAGAAAACATTTAATATGTTTAAGAATTGCAAGTTTAAATCAGAATTGTGAGATAAAAAATTACAATTATCTTTTCTTTTCTTTCTTTTTAGTGGTGAAACAAAAGAATTCTTTCAAAAATGTTACAAAAAAACTACAAACTTTTGAATGGTAGTCAAAAAACCATCCAAACCACATCCCTATATTCCAGATTTCTGGAAATGCGTTTTTGCATTTTGCAACACTAAAATTGGATTTCAATTATTTGAAAATGAAAACAAACATTCTGTGCCTTTTTTTCCACCTAAAACAGTTACTGGATGAGATTACATTGATCTGTGTCACTATGAAACTACTGCAATGATTTCACTCTTACGAGAACATCGATAGCTTTCTCTGCTAAGGCCGTTTGCTTGTGTCGTGGTAGTTGCAGAAACTCAATAAAGTGTTGTTGAACATAGTCTAGAACACTTAAGAATGAGGAGTTAGACAGGTGCTCCATCATGGTCGACCTGTGAGACAAAAATACATCAATAAGGCCCTGCAAGTAAAAGAACAAACAAATGAGATGCTGGGTAGTCAACTGCTGAACTTACGGTAATCTTGCAGCAAATGAAGGGTCCAAATCATTTAGATCAATATCAGGCTGTTTCCGTAGCTCCCCCACAATGCATTTCCTCTGTTGAAACATAACATAAATTGTTTATTTTCTCTCCATTTGCATGTCTAATACAGATGCTAATGTTCCCTTTCCTAGTCAGTTGAGTCATAATGAAAAACATAAGTGAGGCACATTACTTAAAGTACCATAAGCGATGTTAAATCATTTGATTATACAGTTATATTACTATATACATATATTATAAACTGAGCATTTTACATTAGGACAGCAAAGGCTTTAAGTCAAGTCACCTTCATTTATATAGCGCTTTTTACAATACAGATTGTTCCAAAGCAGTTTTATGATGCTTTTGAATAGTAATGTGTAAATTAAAAAAAGATTGTTTCTTATATTCTTACCAAACCAGATCGAAGTCCTCCTGGCAATTTAGTGAGGAACTGCAACAATTCGGAGAAGCCTGACTCATTCACCCATAGCTTCAGCCAGTCACAGCTCATGCCACCTGCAATACGACCTAAATCTCTTCAGTGGGAAATAAACATGTTTGTACGAATGTTATTAGATTTCTAAACAATACAAAGACAATTCATAATATTTGTGCTAGAGATGTTTAGTTCAATACTATGATGCAAATTTCCAAAGCAAATACCTGACCATTCAACAATCATAAAGTGTGGTAATGCTTGATATCACTCACAGTAGTGTCTCTCTTGTGATGTTTACGGTCCGCTGAATCATTTTGAACAGCATTTGAGCCTGTTGTGTCAAATACAACAAGTGAGTCTGAGAAACTGGATCGCCCTCAAGGTAGTATCTGATACACTTTTGGCTGAGACAAAGTCTCTTTAATGTGGGTGATTATTAATTTATATAGCCTGGTGGAGGCTATTGTACCGCATTAAAATCAATTCGCTTGATGACAGTAGAGGGGCTCCGATTATTAATTTACTGAAAGGCTCCTTTAAAGCATGACAAATAATCCACCAAAGAACTTGAGATCAGCTTTGTCTGGCGAGCGCAGTAGAGGGCACTGAATGTAATGTATAGTGTGCTAGAACTGAACACCAAGTGCTTCCATAATTTCTTTAAAATGCTTTCATGCAATTAACAGAGTAGTTCACTTTTAAAAAAAACTTTTTTTTTTAAATGTAATCCGAGATGTTCATGTTCTTCAGTCGAAAAAAAAAAATAAGGTTTTTGAATGAAACATTCCAGGATTTTCTCCATATAATGCACTTCAATGGGAACCAAACGGTTCAAGGTCCAAATGAGAGTTTCAGTGCAGCTTCAAAGGGCTTTAAATGACACCAGACGATGAAAAAGGGTCTTCTCTTGCGAAATAATTGGTAATTTTAAAAATAAATAAAGTTTAAGTTTTATAAGCACAAATGCTCACCTTGCTCTGTTCTGTGATGCGCGTTTGTGACACTCCTCATCAAAATGAACAAATCTTTTTTCAAGTCACGATAATAGGTCTAGATAAGACCCTTATTCATCGTCTGGTGTCATTTAAAGCCCTTTGAAGCTGCACTGAAACTGTCTTTCGGACCTTGAACCGTTTGGTTCCCAATGAAGTCCATTATATGGAGAAAATCCTGGAATGTTTCATTCAAAAACCTTAATTTCTTTTCTTTTTTTAAAAGTGAACTACTCCTTTAAGAGGCGAAATAATACGTACCTGTTGATGAGACCAGGGCATATGCTTATACAGACGTATGTGTTGAAGAACTGTCTCTCCATTTAGATCTGACATTAATTTCTTCAAGGAGACGAATGGAAGAAGACATTGCAGTTGCTGTGTTATATGTGCAGATGTGCGTTCCAGAGCCTTCAAACAAACAGAATGTTTATATGCACCAACCGACCAAACCAAATCTAATGAATACGCACAAATGGTAAATTGGAGATTGTTTTGTCTAAAATACAAACCTGTTGGAGTGCAAAATGGACCATCGCTTGATGAGCAGGTTGCAGGTCAGACAGCAGTGAACTCCAACACCGACAATCAGGTGTAGACTCGGTTACAACCAACTTTCTCAAAAAAGAAGGCCCCAGACCCAGGAACAATGGCTTCAATCTGCACAGTGTGTTGGCACTGAACTAAACAGGATTGAGACTGTGAACACAAGACTCACTTAAAAGGAGTATCATAATTAGTCTGGTATACAGCTTACTTTTGTTTCTTCTGCTATTTTGTTCAGTATCTGGAATGCCTGCATTAAAAGAAATGAAAAAGGGTTCTAATATAGTTGAAATGATGTAATGCACTTCCAGTGTCTATCAGGGTTGTGCAAAATTCAGAATTGAGAAATTGGCATCTGCCCAATGGACCCTTTTCACAGAATGTGATGATGTGTTTGGACAGTTACTAATTAGCAAAGTTATATTAATATTTAAGCTCTCTGTATTTATTTTTCTACTTTTGGAAAGTCATAGAAATGCTATTGTAGATTTTTTTAATTTTGCAATTGGATGAAATGGGATTGCAAAATTGATATTTGTTGTAGTTTCCATTCACCACTATAACTGTTTACTCAAAAATGACATCTTCCTCTTCTGAGAACCCTGAAAATTTGAAGAGTCCATTCATTAATTGTAATTTGAACAGGAATAGAACGCTATCCATCCATCCATACATCATTTAGTTGTGCTATCTATTTGTCGTTCTATCTATATATCTATCAATTTTAAAATTTCAGGCTTTAAGGCAACATTCAATGCATCTTCACAAACTTTGCTTGTCAAGTTAAAAATTAGTATAATTCTACAATTATGCCTGTTCAAATTCAGGAATTGAATTGGAATTTAAATGCCTTCTCAATTCAGTTCTGAATGGTGCACAACCCTGCATTTAAATATGCTTACCTGTGCAGGTGGAAAAGTAGGCATGCCTGGCTGAGTTACCAGATCCAACAGCTCGCTTGAGGACAGCGGGTCCAAAAATGTCGCGCCCATTTGTGGCAGCAAACCATGTAACGAGGCCATTGCCGAAGCTGATAAGATGCTGGCATTTAAAGATTTAAGGGCCATTCCAAGCCAGTGTGACAGCTGCAGATAAAAGAAATCTACATGATTTACACTTCAAACATTATTATACAATGCATTACATCTAGAAAATAAAGTCTCACTCTTCCACTTCCACTGACGTGTCCCTCTGACACACACTGAGCCAGCTGCTGCCACAGGATGGGTGAGAGATTTGATGAAGACAATAGCTGCTGCAAGTCCTCAGAGTCAAGGTAACATACAAGAACTCCTAATCTGTTGAGAGAAACATGGTGTTTTGTTATTCTTGTTATTTATAAATGTCAAATGATATTGAACTTGAATTTGTACCTCATTATGTTGTCACTCGTCAGGTTCTTCCCCCTGCCAAAGACAGAACGAAGTACATGGTGCCCCCTTGTGGCATCCAAACTGCTGTTCCCCAGCATCTCCATTAAAGGCGTGAGCTGTCAAACATTCAGATGTGAAAAGTAGAAGGGGGAAAAAAGTAGAATTCCCAGAAGGGGTCGTTACTTACTTGTTGAGATGTGAGCTGCTGGAAGTGACTGACTGGGAGATGTGGAAGTAAGGGTAGAATGGAGCTGAGGAAGTATGGAGGCCATGTTGGGACATCTCCAGCTTCGCTGGACTGCAGCAGGCGCTTTACGAAGGCTTGTTTTTGTGGAGACTTCATCTCAGAGCTGTGATCCCTAATAGCCATCAGTCTGGAGCGATTGAACGAGAGTTGAAATCATTAACATGTGGGGAACTGAATTATGAGGATATCATTTCTATATGATCCACTTACACACTTTCATTGACCATGAGAGAGGCGGGGAAGGTCATAATGTCAGAGACAGACATGTATGGTATAAATTGGGAAAGGTCGATGAAAAGCTCTGGTGTGACACGTGGAAACTTGTGAATGAAAGCAGCTGTCATGGTTTCCATGGCCTCTTGTTCTTTTGGAGAGACCTGTGAATGACATCAGTTGAATGTACATATACTGTACTTCTAAGTGCATGATAAATTGGTATTATATAGTTAAGTCATGCTGTTCATTATAGTGTTGCAATGCAAAAAAAAAACGATTTTGTTTTTTCCTGTTTTATTTTTTTAGGCAAAAAACTAACTATAAGTATCAGACAGAATTTTAATTCACTTCATAAATCATTTTAAGTTTAATTGAACATATGACTTCAGTAATAACATGAAAATTATCAGCTTTTCAGTATCGTCTAGATCTCACTCTTTTGGAATAACGTCTAAAATGAGCTCAATCATGTAAAATGTTTTTGTTCACCTGTATAGTTTCCACATGAAGTTGATCCCAACTCTGATGAACTTGGGAAAGGAATCTTTTCACAGCATCTTTTTCTGCCGACAGAACTACACTGCGAATACTCTCTCTAGGCATCTGTAGGTACTCCTTGGAGTATATAAATGTCAGCATTAGGTATTGACAAATGTGTACTGACAAAATAGGGTTTAATTTATTACCTTCTTACAAACTAGTTTTCAAGAAACAACAGTATGGAAAATGAAAAAGAACTATATATGTTGGGTCTGAATTGGGTTTAACTCAAGGGTTTTCAAACTTGGTTATGCAGAAAAATGTAAAATAACTATATTGAAATTAAATTGTATTTTAATCATTTCTTTTAGTTCATAAAATCAAATATGAAAGTATTGAGTCAATACAAAGTAATAATACGTCTTTGCATGAACATATTATAGCTATCTTCATATTTTAAAAATAGGGATTATTACATTTAGGACTTTAGTTTGAAAACCCTTTGGTTGACCTGACTACACTATAAAAATAATCCTGTAAAAAAACGGTAAACTACAGGCAGCTGTGGTTTCCAGCATCATACCGTAACTATATGGTGTGTTACTGTTTTTGTGTTAGACCATATAGCTGTTAAATTTAAGTTTTATACTGTATAGCTGACAATACACTATTTAGCTGATCATTTCAAAAACAGTAACACACCATATAGTTACGGTATGATGCTGGAAACCACAGCTGCCTGTAGTTTACTGTTTTTTTACAGGATTATTTTTTACACTGATAGGTTAAGATTTGAATAAGATTTTGAAATGATGAATTAACTGATCATTTCAAAAACAGTAACACACGGTATCTTTACAGTATGATGCTGGCAACCACAGCTGCCAGTAGTTTACCGTTTTTTTTACAGGATTATTTTTTACAGTGAAGATAATGAGTTATACCTGCATTAAAAATCGTAAAGCAGTAGAGTTGCCTCCTCTCTGAATAAGATCCCACAGGACAGGCTGCTGGGGAGAAAATACTTTGAAACTGAATGCATCAAGCAGTATGGTAATATAATAAAAAACTACTGGCACTAGAATGGAAAATTATGCAACTTTTCAATGCAAGACATACACTGAAACAGCTTAAAAGGTCTTCTTTTAAGGTAGAGTTTTGCTCTCTCTTCAGGTAGACGGCAACAGTGTGAAGTACACTTAAGGATGCGTCTGGCCGTAGAGTGGCCCAGAAGGAAGCATTGTCCTGGAGACTGGACAGAAGAATGGCCTGACCCAGACCCTGACGCACCTCCTGTTCTCCCTCCTCCAAACCCCCTGAGAGCCCTACAACAAAGTCTAACACTCGAAGCACGTAGCTTACTGTAGCCAACCAACCCGTGCGTTCATCCATAACTCCTTCGCATAGAGTGAGCTTATGAATGGCTTCTTGTAGAACGGGAAATGGGTTCACACAAAGTTGAGAAGTGTCAAAGTCATATGGCGCTGGCAGCATGTCAAACAGCTTCTGGAGGACACACTTGGCGCCCTGTGTTTCTTCAGAGTTCAAACAGTAGTCTAAGAGCGAAGGCAGCTTTAGAACTAATGTGAGGTACAGTGTGGTGTTTTTGCAAATGGAGTCCTTCAAACCAGCTTTACTGCTGCAAAGTTCAAGGGCGGTGAAGTTCATAAATTGCTCTGCCTTCCAGTTTGAGTAGTCACAGTTGTCTACGTGGACACCATAGGAGTGATTAGGGACTTTGGAGCAGTACTCCGCCGCCCAGCTCCCATCTTGTGGCATTTGAGATGACTCATTTCCGCACAAAGAGGCAATAAGGGCTGTGTTATTGGGCAGAAAGCATCTTCTAAAATCCTGGGCAGTTAGAGTTTTGCTGCTTAGCAATGATAAGCAATCCTCAGTGGCGTCTGGAGGAGATCCCCCAGAAACATCATTGGAGAGCTGAAGACAGAGGTCATCAATACTTGACTGGTTGAGGTAATGGTAATCCTGTGTAGATTCTACCTGAGAAAATTTCACAGAAAGGCAATTCAGGCAGTTTAATTTAGGTGTTTAATCGCATATAAACACGCATACAATGAGCGCGCCACCAACACAGCTTGAACAAACTTCATTGGTCCTCACGAAGTCCGTTTGAGCTTCCATGTTTATTTTATGTGAGTTAAATCTGTTCATCATATAAAGGGGTCGTGTCTCTTCACAAAACTTGTATTAAACGGTTAAATGACCATAAAACCTTTTTGGATCTTCTAAATTTTACGTGTGCTTTCAATGGAGGGACAGAAACCTGACTATAGTTTTATTTAAAATATATTAAATGAGAAGTTCACTTTTGAAAAAAACTTTTGCAGATAATTTATTCACCCCAATGTCATCCAAGATGTCCATGTCATTCTTTCTTCAATCGAAAATAAATTAATTCTCCATATAATGCACTTCAGTGGGAACCAAATGTTTTAAGGTCCAAAAGACACTTTCAGTTCAAACTGCAAACTGTTCAAAGGGCTTTAAATGATTCCAGATGATGAATAAGGGTCTTATCAAGCAAAACGATCGTTAATTTAATAAATGAATAACAAAGTTTTATAAGCTCAAATGGTCGCCTTGCTCTGTTCTGTGATGCACGTTCGTGACTGTCCTATTCGAACTTGTTCATCAAAATGAACAAATCTTTTTCCGAGTCATTTGGTTCATTCAACGAACGAAATGAACGAATTGACTCGCAAAAAGATTTGTTCATTTCGTTCATCGTTTAAAGCCCTTTCAACATTTTGCACAGTTTGCACTGAAACTGTCTTTTGGACCTGGAATCATTTGGTTCCCACTGAAGTCCATAATATGGAGGAAAATGCTGGAATGTTTTCATCAAAAACTTTAATTTCTTTTCGACTGAAGAAAGAAAGACATGGACATCTTGGATGACATGGGGGTGAGTAAATTATCAGCAATATTTTTTAAAAAGTGAACTGCTCCTTTAATTTGTGTTTTGAAGATTAGCCAGTCTTATGGGTTTGAAACGACGTGATGGTGAGTAAACGATGAAACATAAACTAAATGTAGCTCAATTTACCTGATGTGCATGTTGCAGCCAGAATGTAGAGTTGGCACACACTGTTTTGTTAAATTCGTGAGTGAAGAATTCGCTGCAAACGTGAGCCCAAAGAAAATCTTCCTCAGCTGCCGAGAGGTACCAAGCAGCATCGGAGCAAGTCGCGTGCAGGTCTACCCCATAATGGTTGACTTCAGAGTCCTCTGAGCCCCCCACTCCATCAAAAAGATTGCAGTAGAGGAAGACGGTAAAATTTGAGACCCCCGTGAGACCAGGGATAGAGGCATTACAGGCAGCTTCTAGAATCTCTGCTGAGGGTGAGGGGTTTGAATCACTCTTCTCATGGACTTTTAGCTGGGATTTGTGAAGTTTAGGCCTTTTCAAAGTCCTTGTTTCCTCTTCTGGCGAGGGGCAGGTCATGAGAGACGGCATTCTGGGTAAACCATCTGACCTGAAACCCATCGCTTGAGCGTTCCATGTTAAGTTATGTCTAATTCCCCTGTACAAAGAGGACAAACAACCCTGTTAAATTATGATAATCTTCTTTATACACTTAGAAATTTGTTTGAAATGTTTCTGATTCTCGTGACACTTACCACAATATTAGCTGCCTGAGGTCACCTTTACAAAGAAACAATGGAAAAGTTATGGGTGAATGGTTTATTGATACAAATCACAGATGATACCAGAACACTGTTGATTAATTCAGGAAAATGGAGAGCCGCACAGTGTATTATACAATTGGCCTTGATGTAACAGCATAGCTGTGCACATAATACCAGGGGTGTATGGTTACCAGCATAAAAGGAAGAGGAAATTATCCAGGCTATAGAATTTAGAGTAACAAAGATATGGTTAATGACTAACAATGCCATTATGATTTCAGTCAGGGTTGTGCGACATTCAGAATATAATTGAGATTGCTTTTTAAAATCAAATGACTTGTATTTGAATTGAAGTAGCAAAAAGGATGCAGAACTGCAATTTGAATGTAGAAAAACAAAATGAAATGGAAAGATTGCTGTTAGTTTTAACTCGATAAGCATAGTTTGTCAAGAACTTAAAATTATGCTTAAAGGGTAAAGTCAAAAAAACAATGACTTTATTAAACATTGTATTGATTACTGGTTATGTTACGTCACCATCGTCACTCGTGAACGCAGAACCGGAAGAGAATACAATGTTTAATAAAGTCGTAGTTTTTGTTATTTTGGGACCAAAATGTATTTCCGATGCTTCAAAACATTCTAACTAACCCACTGATGTCACATGGACTACTTTGATGATGTCTTAATTACCTTTCTGGACAAGGACAATATACCGTACATACATTTTCAATGGAGGGACAGAAAGCTCTCGGACTAAATCTAAAATATCTTAAACTGTGTTCCGAAGATGAACGGAGGTCTTACGGGCTTGGGACGACATGAGGGTGAGTCATTAATGACATAATTTTAATTCTTGGGTGAACTAACTCTTTAAAGTCTTGTTCAAAGGTTTTGAGGTTTGAATGCTTACATTTACATTTATTCATTTAGCTGACACTTTTATCCAAAGCGACTTACACTATATAATTGCTATATATGTCAGAGGTTGCACGCCTCTGGAGCAACTAGGGGTTAAGGCCCCGTCCACACTACACGAGACTACACGTCCACGAGACCTTTTGCTACCTTTTCACCTCCCGTCCAGACATACGCAATCCGTTCCCAACGGACGTCGTACTACACAGTGAAAAGCGTCGGACACGGGTAGAACAAAAATGGCAGAGAGAGAGATTAAAGTTTGATTCTGTTTTTATTTATTTATTATTATTAAAGTTTGATTCTATCAGTTCTGTATGATCTCTCTGATGATACGTTGACAGGTCGGCTAAAATATGTGATATAGTGGTCAATAGTTCAATACTACCTTCAATTTAATTGTAACTGCCCTTACGTTAGAAAGTCATGAAAATAAAAAAATGACATGACAACTTAGCGTTATAAAATCGTTATTTATTATATTAAAAGTTAATAATTCAGGTTTGTTTATCAGTACCATAGCAACGCTCAACTTCCGCTGGAATTTTAGGATAGGAACCGTCCGTAGCTTTTCGCAGGAGTTCAAATTTTTGAACGCATCGGATGACAACGGACACAGATTTCTTCGCACCGCACTCGTCGGACACCGTTTCGGACCCATTCGCATGCGGTCTGCGAATCTCCATAGGAAATGAATGACTTCCGGTCGTTCGCAGCCGCATCGGAGCTGATTTTCAACTGCCAGTGTGACGCTGCTTCACACTGGCAGTTGAAATCAGCTCCGTAATACGCAATACGTTCCCAACTGACGTCGTACTACACAGTGAAAAGCGTCGGACCGCGGGTAAGAACAAAAATGGCGAGAGATTAAAGTTTGATTCTGTCAGTTCTGTAATGATCTCTCTGATTAGGGTTATGCTGCGTGAGGAAAGTTGCTCAGGACGTTGACATGTCAGGTCGGCTAAAAAATGTGATATAGCTAGTGGTCAATAGTTCAATGTCTACCCTTCAATTAATTGTATTAACTGCCTTATAAACGTTAGAAAGTCATGAAAAATAAAAAATGACATCACAAATTATCGTTATAAAATCAATATTTATTTTATTAAAAGTTAATAATTCAGGTTTGTTTTATCAGTACCATAGCAACGGTCAACTTCCGCTGGAATTGTCGGATAGGAACCGTCCGTAGCTTTTCGCAAGAGTTCAAATTTTTTAACGCATCCGGATGACCAACGGACACGATTTCTTCGCACCTGCACTCGTCGGACCCGTTTCGGATCCATTCGCATGCGGTCTGCGATCTCCATAGGAAATGAATGACTTCCGGTCGTTTCGCAGCCGCATCGGAGCTGATTTCAACTGCCAGTGTGAAGGCGGCGTAAAACGGAAAAAACGAAGACCTAAAATGGAGAAGTTTAGAAACGCTGCAGCTCCATTTTGCGTTTTGAATCTCCGGAGGGCGTTAGTGTAGACGGAACAAAACGGAGGAGTTTAGAAACGATGACGCAGAGGCTCACGCTCGGCTCTATGATTGGGTGTTATCAGTCATGACGTATCCTTCCCTGATTCGTCAGCCACTGTTTACACCGGCACGCGCATGCCCAGTGTTGGTGAATGGTCACGTGATCCGCGTTTTCAGTCGTTTTAATGTGGACGGAGATCAATTCTAATATGCAGATAAAACGCTGGTGTGGACGGAGATCGTATTCGTTTTAATTCTCCGCTTTTAAACGAAAACGCAGTAGTGTGGACTAATTGGCTTGCTCAGGGACACATTGGTGTCTCGCAGTGGATTCCAACCCGGGTCTCTCACACCAAAGGCATGTGTCTTACCACCCCACATGCTTATAGTTCTTGCAGACAGAACAAGATCATTCATTAGATAATGAATGTTACAGGTTAACTACATGCATCCATATGCTAGAGCCTGTTAAAGGCTAAAAAACTATACTTGCCTACGGAACATCTTCCATGATGACTGTACTGTGATTCGCCCACCATGATGCTTACATCATCCAGCAGTGCCTTGGTCATATGTGACACTTTTCTTCTCAGATTACTATACACACTGCGGCCAACATTGTGCATAAATCCATGTCTGAGGTTATCCAAGCCCTGCAGGAAGGCGGGATTACGCTCCGCGAACTGTGCCGCCCTTTCTCCTGCGTTTGACCTTGACAAAGCCTGAAGAAGCAGCGCCTGCATAGAAGCAAGGCTCTCTGAATCAGTGCCCGACTTGTTCAACAAGAGCTGCTCCTCACGAAGCACCTCGGGTGGCACGAAGAAGGGTTTAAAACGCCCCGTGGAGAGTGTGGAATCTCTTTGGTTGTTTTCCACACTCACAGGGTGTAGACTGACCACAGGTTTCCAGTTCCTGGTCTCCATAAAGCTGATGAGCTGCTCAAGCCAGCTTAGGTTAAAGCCACAATCATTTCGTCCTTTCAGGACACAGATGAAACCCTGGAGACCTGCGACGGCCTGGCCATACGTCCCACTGACCATGGCTTGAAGGACAGTTTCAAGCAAGGCGCTGATGGTCTTCCAATTCTGAGAAACAAAAGTCAAGATGGGTTTTTGAGGCTGCCGTTCAGTGAGGGTCAAAATGCTCTGTACCAACCCAAGAAGTCCATCCCAATGTGGGCTGCCCCTGAGCGAAAGAAACAGATCCTGGAGTCTGAAAGTGGGTCTCGGGGGACTTTTCCCATCCCATATTCCAAGAGATGTTTCCCTTCCAGTCTGAAGAAGAGAATAGAGCAGGTTCTCCCAAAACTGGTCGTCACTAAAAGCTTGCTGACGATCATCTATCTCTGCGCTCATCTCTTGCAGATACATGGAGATGTTATAAAGGAATCCTGACAACCTGTTTCGATCGAAGGCTTTGTTTAAAGATGGGAGACTCGTGCTTTTCCTTGGCAGGACACCTAGAGACTTGAGACCTCCCATAATGCTCCTCACTATGGAATGAATTTGTTGATCCTTTTGTATTTCTACTGGTGGCTGTACTCTGTGTGGGTTCCATCCTCCACCTTTCCTCCATATCTCAACAAGCTCTTTCAAAATCGCCTCCTTCTGGTCCTCTTTTTTGCTCGCTAATATGAGAGGAAGAATCAGTGAAGTTAGACATTGAGACAAATTTAGTTATTGTACCAACAACAGCCACACTGTAAAATGTAACAAGTTGACTTTACTTAGAAAAAGTGAGGAAACCGATTGCCTTAAATTTTCCAAGTAAAGTATTGTATTAATTTTTAGTTGGCGCAACTTAATAGCATTTGTATAGACAACTTGTAAATCAAGTATACTCAAGTAAAGTTGACTCAAAATTATTAGTTGTGTTAACTTCTATTAGAGTTCACATTACTAGGAAAAAATTAGGAAACCGATTGCCTTAAAATTTTGAAGTAAGCTGAACTAAACAAATTAAGTTAAGACAAAAAGACAAAACTGAACTCGGGTAAAACATTATTTATTACTCATCAATTGTCCTTATGCACAACAGTGTACTAAACAATGTCATTCAGACACCCCAAACTGTTTTTTGTTAATGTAACAAACAATTTTAATCACAAAAACACATTGTTATTCTTGTTAACCCTAAAGCAATTCAAATGTGCAGTGCAAATGCAACTAAAAAGCATCAACATTAGGGTAATGCGGGAAAATTGACACTTAAGTTGCAATGTAAAAATATGTTAAACAAAAGCATTTAACAATACAACTGTTATAAAACAAGAAAAGCATTTTTAACCAAGGTTGACAAGTGACAATTTATAAATGTTTTGTGTATTTTAGAAATTTTGTACAACCACAAACTCAAAGGGTTAGTTCACCCAAAAATGAAAATTAAGTCATTAATTACTCACCCCCATGCTGTACCAACCCCGTAAGACCTTCGTTCATCTTCGGAACACAAATGAAGATATTTTTGATTAAATTTGAGAGGTGGATCACTACCACATATGCTCCTAAGGGATAGACACTTGACGGCCCAGAAAGTCAATGAAGAAAATGTTTAAATATTCCATGTGACGACAGTGGCTCAACTATAAGTTTATCAAACGACGAGAATACTTTTTGTGGGGAAATAAAACAAAAATAACGACTTTATTCGACTATTCCTTTTCTTCCTTCTGGGCCTGAAACAAGACTTAAAAAGATTTCTCGCACACATGCGTCATGGAAATCTCGTTATCTCTTGTTTCAGGCCTACAAGGAAGAAAAGGAATAGTCGAATAAAATCATTATATTTGTTTGTTTTTTCGCACAAAAAGTATTCTCGTCGCTTGATAAACTTATACTTGAGCCACTGTAGTCATGGAATATTTAAACATTTTCTTCATTGACTTACTGGGCCCTCAAGTTTCGATCCCTTAGAGTGCCTATGTAGCAGTGATACAGCTTTCAAATTTAATCAAAAATATCTTCATTTGTGCTCCGAAGATGAACGAAGGTCTTACGGGGTTGGTACAGCATGGGGGTGAGTAATTAATGACTTAATTTTCATTTTTGGGTGAACTAACCCTTTAAAGGGATAGTAACAGGATAGCCACTAAACTGAAAAATCTGTCATAATTTACTTTCCCACATCTCATAACAAACCTGTAAGTTTGGATATTCTTGGAAACACAAATACAAATATTTAAAACTAACCAGTTAAGCATTTTATGTCCCTCTATTGATAGTCCAGATGACCCTAACTTAAAAGATATAAAGAGATTATTAAGATGTATTTATGATTTATTTTAAGACTAGACCCTTTCTCTTACGGGTTTGAAACAAGATGAGGGAGTGTAAATTATGACAGAATTTTTTAATCTGAAACAACATTTACTTACATGAGCAGCATGTTTTCAGGTGACTGTAGTTTAGGCTTCAGGAATTTGTGTCCCAGAGAAAGAAACAGTCTCTGAATAAAATCAAAGGTGTTCTTGAGCTGTGGAGTGTACTTCGTATTAAACGCATACAGTATATCAGCCCAAAAAGTAGGCACATGGCATCCGGAAGTTTTTGAAGTTCATCCATAACAATGGCTCCTTCTAGGACAATTGCTGTGTGTGAAGCCTCTAAATGCAGTGCTTGTGAAGAATCCTGAGTTTCTTCAGTCATCACAGTTATAATCCCAATGGAAATCTTGGGTGTGTTGCAATCACAGTCCTAATAAAAAAAATACAGAAATATAAAAATTCTAGTTACATTACAAATAGGAAATCTCACAAATGTGCATGTAACTTAAAGAATCAGGACCATTACCTTCTGTTCTACATACAACTCAACTAACAGGTAAACATTAAAGTATTGTATGAAAATTAGACATCAGAAAACAATGCACAGTGCAATGATGGCAGAACAAACACACAAGAAAATGTACAATTACATTTGAAGAGTTTGTGTCTGGTCTGTTTCTGGATAGTTGAATGAAGAATAATTGAATGGCTATATGTAATGTATGTGTGGGGGATTAGTTTAGAGAGAAATATACAGAGAATGGTACTTGCCAATATTGTTTTGAAAAAGTCTGAGGTGTCTTCTCCAAAAATGAGGGGAAGTCCACAAAGAACTGCTGTGCGATTTGCAGTGATGTCAGTGCCCTGGAAAACCAAATTAAATTTAAAATTAGTCTGAATGAACTACTTTAAAATGTGATGGCTGCTCTGAAAAAAAGTTTTATAACATAGAATTAAATTTTATGAAATAACAGTTACAAAAATTAGTTTAAGAAATAAGCATAGACAAGCTTACCACAAATTCAGAAAGTTTTTTTTCCAACTGCCAGAAATGGAGCTGTATGTTGATCAAGTGCTGTAAAAAATTCTTGCTTGAGGTTTTTGCTTGTGATGCGAATAAACTCTGCATTGATCTGTAAAAGGAAAAATAACAATGTTATATCTATTATTAGGCTTTTGGTTACTGCGTTATAGGGATACTTGAAAATTGCCTTATTTACTCAATCTCGTAGTATCCCAAATGTACCTCTATTCTTCAGATAAACGTAAAGGTATATATTTATGACTTAAATGAACACAAACAGTCTGTGTGAAGACATGGAAATGGTGTAGTTCTGGTGTAGCTTCCATGTTTTATACGATAATGCTTCAAGAGGAGAGCTCTATTTTCATAGGGGGAAAAAACAGTACTTACATTTCCTTTGCATGTCTCATCTCACAAAGCAAGCTCTGCAAATGAAGAAAATAATATTAAAATACACACTTTTTTAATATACAGCTTTGTATTTTAATTTATAAATCAATAGTGTTCAAACATTTAAAGTGTGGGGTGGGCGATATGGCAAAATATGATATCACAATTCTTTTCATGTTGGTTTTACTGTTTTGCATTACAGCCAAACAAATTTCCATATTTTCAAAAAACAAAGCTAAAAACAAAATAGAATAGCAGACATTTTAGGTCAAAATTAATGATAATAAAAAGCTTAGTAATTGTTTAATCTTTGTTAATAAAGAAATAGGAATAAAGATACACTTTACATATACACAACATAATATATAAATAAGATAAACCCTATAAATTGGCTTGACAGTATACATTAATAATTTATTCTTATTAAAGCCACTGTATTTAAGTGAGTGATTTTCAGTGACTTTTGTTTTATTAACATTAAAAGAATAGTTCTCCCAAAAAACAGTTGTATCATAAAGTATGTTCCTTGATTGAAAGCATGGACCTAACGATTAGGCTACCGATTTGCAAATGCTAGACTGCTCATTTCGATTAGCACAATCCAACACAATCCAAGAATTTGATTAAAATAACACATCCAATGTTCATGTGTAACGCTAGATTGTTTAATCTGTTTCATTTATTACACGGTCAATTGTGTATATTAAGCAATTCAGACATTAAAATAAGACATAAAAAGCACTGACTCACCTTTCCATGTGCTTTCCTCATCCGAAATAATGGTATTACGTTTTCAAATCGGCTCCACCTACTGGTAGAACTGCGCATGACCACTCGAAAATGTTCAACATACTTATTATTTTAAGTAGAGGTTAATTTAATCTTTTGAGTTTAATAACTTACCGTGCTAAAACGTTGTCCTTACTTTATTAAACTTAGTAAGGTCAACAAACTTATTCAAAATAAGTTTTATTCACTTAATGTTATTAGTAAGATCATCAGTTACATTTTACAGTGCATGATTGTCTTACCTTCAGCAATGGCTGATACTTGTTCCAGTAAAAGCAAAATCACAACAATTCCCAACTTGCCCATCCTAAGTTCCTTTGCCTCAAGGTAGCACGGACAAAGTCATTTTGTTGTCCTTGTAAGACTGCATTTATGTTCCCTTAGGAGCTGACAGAGACATTCAGAGAGTAAAGTGTCGCACTGTGGAGTGCACATGAAATCTTAATGACTATCCACTGTCACTTGGCTAAACTTTCACAAAGAAAAGTTTGCCACTTTAAGTCTAAACCGAGTCTAAAAGAATAAATAGTAAACAATTATTTTCTGTATTAAATGTTAATAAATGTGGATTATTCATGGATTTGTAAAATTCTATTACAACTTAGGCTGAAAAGGATTTTTGCAATACTTGTCTAAATGCATTTACTTGTAAAATAAAACATTAAATTCTGGCATTTTCTACATTTGTAAAACACTTGTAAACATTTGTAACACATTTGTAAATCACAAATGAAAAAATATTTTTTCCAGTAGCTACTTACATACATGTATAAGCTGTTGTGTCTGTTTAATCCTGTCCGTATCTGTGAAAATAGATTGGATGTCTCAAGGATTGTGAGTGTGAGCTAATTATTTCTCAGTCTCTCTTTCTATCTCTCTCTCTCTCTCTCTCCCTCTCTCTCCCTCAGCATTTGTCACTTTTTGATCCGCTCCCCCTCCCAGTCTTTGAGATTCAATTGGATACTCAAAAGCTAAAGCTTCACGTTTCAGCGACATCGTCCCATCATGTGCCAGCTGACTGTGCTGGAGTGAGAGGCCAGAGACTCCGGCATGTAATATGAGAAAAGAGAAAGGCCAAGGAACTTTAAGAGGGTATACTCTTGTATCACAAGGCAATTTTATAGTAATTAAGATTAAAGGAGTTACAACGGTAGGTCATTACTCCGACTGAGGCTAAAATGGAGCAGTAGATATACATTAGATAATACACATTGGCTGCATAATAAACAATCAACCTAATAGTTATTTTGATGGTGATATTCCAAAAAATGTATAACACATATTATTTTTGGTTATAATGATATATGCCAGTGTTTTAATTTACTATTATAGTGCTTATTAATATTTTGAATTAGCTTAATAATCAGTTTCCATTTTAATTTAAGTTAAAATTTTAGTACATTTACGTTCTTTTTGTATTTTGTCAACATATTTTTTCTCCTTAAAAGCTTACATAAACCACTTAATCATAATTGAATCACTACACGCCATTTTTTATTGCTCAATCTGACATCTCATGAGGTAATTTTCCACCTGCGCCAACACGGACATAAAATGGTACCCTTGTCCACATGGGTATGGTTTTCTTATGTGGCAGCCAGCAGGTCGCCTACAGCTTTCATAAAACAAAAGTGTCCCTAAGGGCCACACAATCAGGCCCTTCACTGATGTTTGAAATCATCTCTCTCTTGTCCGAATCCTGTCTACAGCATCTGAAACCTGAGTGGGTTGAGTGAAAGGCCTAGCGCAGCCTCCCCACAAGCCTTTTAATTCTGTGTTGCTGTCGCCTGCAGCGGAACAATAACTTCCTCTTGTATTATTGATGCCTGAGGGAGCGGCGGTCACTCGGCAGCATGGAGCTCGGTTGGCTGCAGGAATATTAAATGAGAAACTTTACTCCTCATGCCTTTGACTAACTCCACTCAAATCGCACACAGCAGTCAGCTTGTTTGTTTGCTCTGAGATGCATATAACTAAAACAAAGCTCCATAGCTAAATGAGAAAAAAAGTATTAGTTGCATGATGTCTATAACTGAATTGTAAAAAATAAAAACAGTTAAAAGAGATCGCAGATCTAAGTCTATCATAACTTATTGAGGCATGTTAAACTAACTGTAGCAAAGCATCTTTTGGTCCAATGTGCAAAGTATATGAAATCGAAGGAAAGATTATAGCCTATTTCAATGCCTTTGCAAGCAAAGCTTCTTGGAAAAACACAAAATTTTTGCAAGCGAACACAAAAGCATTGAAACATCATTTTCCTCCTCAGCTCATATTTTTGTTCCCCAAAATAATGTGTTGTCAGACAAGTGTTCATTTTAGGCCCTTACTTTTACATCTCTGAATCACATGTCTGGTTGAGACAATTAATTCCTGCTTACCTAAAATAATAATACTTTAAATAAGCCTGTTCTAGCACCATTTGTTCCAGTGGGGAAAAAGCTAGCAATCCACATGTGGATGTAGGTTCTATTTTGTTTGTTAGGTTTCAAGCAATAGTACAGGTCAAACTTGGGCATTCAGAAAGACATTAACTAATTTTCAGAAGAAAGAAAATTCAAGAAAATACAAAACTAATATTACTAAATAGTAGCCTATGACACAAGCAGTCCATTTGTTTTCTTGAGACTGCTTACAATTCTTAAAAATATCACAAATAGCTTTCTACAGTTAAGAAGTACAGAAAACAAAACAAAAGTGTTTGTGATAGTGTGAATAGTGATAGGGAAAAGTCTCAGAACACTGGTCTGACTTGATGACCAGAATTATTGTAGCCTAAAAATACATTTCCCAGCAAACATGCCAGTGTGGGCCCACTAAGTGTGGGTTTTCTGTAGGAAAGTGTTGGTAAGGGCAAACCCTTTGGGGCCCCATGTGGGCTTTCTGTGGACAAGCCCACATTTTGGCTTGCCCTCAGAAAAACCCATACAGGCCCCAGTTAGCCCATGCGGGGCCCAAAGCAGTTTTGCCCATTTGGGCCCCTATGATGATTTACTGTGTGCAACCCAGAAAACCCACACAGGCCCCCAGTGGGTCTAACCCTAAGGGGTTTGTTGTGGGCCCAATTAGTGTGGGCCAGCCAATAGTCAGCTCACACTTTGGGCCACACGTGCCCCGCATCTCACGGCTGTATCTGGGCCCACACCCACAGTACAATGGCCCCATTCGGGCCCCAAAGGAGCATGTTTGCTGGGTTATTATTGGTATATGAATGGGAACACTACAATGTATATGACTGGTAATCCATCAGCCAGTTGGGTAGAAGTGAAAAATAAAGAATAAAAAGTAGCTGCTTTTGAAAGAGCACTACCTAGGGTGACCATGAGTCCTGTTTTCCCAGGACATGTCCTGTTTTCACATCCTGTCCTGGCCACCCTGGGGTGCGTTTCCCGAAAGCATCGTTAGCCAACTATGGTCGCAAGTTCCGTCGTTTTCCATTAGAGTTCAATCGAAATTGCGACCAACTTGCGACCATAGTTGGCCAACGATGCTTTCGGGAAACGCACCCCTGGCTGTTTTTATAGAGTGATGAAAATGTCCTGGTTTTCAAAAAACTGCTGGGAAAGATCAGCTCTACAGCAAAATATAGATGGACAAACAAGAAGGATGAGGAAGAATAACAGGGTAAAAGAGGAATAAAACTAAAGTTATACGTATATTTTGTTAGTTAATTTTGTAAGTTTGTGTGAGCTATTTTTGTTCAATTTGGATGTATTTCTTTTAGTTATTTGTTATATATTTATTTTTCTAATACAGAAGAGACATTATTTCTATCATTACTTTTGAAACCTGTCAAAATAAAATATGTTGAGTAACCTCTGAGAAGACTATCTGAATTTGTGTCTTGTAATAACCATTTTCCATCCATACAGAGGAGGCATAGCCTACTTTAAATGTGTTTTGAAATTAATAAGGCATCTTTGAGTAAACTTTGAGTATCATTTGATGTTCTGTTTGCCGGGCCGAGTGTCCTGATTTTTAGTAATCAAAATATGGTCATCCTAGCACTACCTAACTCGGGCTCTAACAAACAAAATAATTCTGCAACTTCTCTATTTTTCTCAGTAAAATAAATATAAGACGCACGGAGCAAACAATTTAGTTTTACATCAATACTGATATGACTTTTTTTCTCAGTCACAAGGCAGTCATGTGTGGTTTAGTCATTCAGGGAACCGCAGCTCTATGCCATGCAGTCAAAGTACTGAACTGCAAGAAGTGGAAATAACGAAATACTGTCGTACTGAGGTAACAAAATCTTCCTTCAGGGGGCGTTCGGCGGCTCAAAAACCAAAATTCACTCTTTTAATGTCCTCAGATATTATATTTTAGACAGCTATAGATTAATGTTCATACTTTTATTTAAAATGTTAAATATAACGACGGAATTGTATATATTTCAGTAGCATTATAGACGTTCTGTTTGAACGTTGAGCGATTAAACAAGCCGGAAGTCTACGTCAAAAAGTCAATGGGCGGGACGAGCGACTGACAAACATGCATTGGCAAGTCGTGTGATCTTAAACCTGATCAGAATCAGAATGAACCGCTAAACCCTCATGAACATCAAATCATGGGGTTCATCATTCAAAGACATTATACAATAGAGCATTTACCGATACTTTAGTTATCAGAGTTTGGTAGAGGCGCCTGTCCTCTCTCCACTGTTTGTTTACATTTAGTTTCATTTGAGTTGTCATTGTCGAGATGCATTACCTGCTACAGGTGAAAGTGGGAGCGCTGGTTGGGCTGTTGATCTTAACTTTATTTTTTGGTTTCATCCCAGCGCGGATGAAATGGTTTCAAGAGACTAGTGGAACAGGTAAATAATCATTTAAGTCATTTTGGGGTGTTGTCATCGATTTTTTACTGCCCTATTCATGATGCTTTCTTTCATTTGTCGCCTCATTGCAGCACAGCTATGTATTTATGTACAGTATTATGTATATTACGCATCTGTCCACATGTGGATACGTGTGTTTATGTGTGTATGCTTATGTCCAAACACTATAGGTTAATACATGTACCAAACCATAAGGAATTTTCTCAGCTTTATACAAACACATGAGAGTCAGCTGATGAAGTTTTCTCTAAACATACAGTTCAGTTTACTCTCATATTACAGATATACATAAGGGTGGAAGTGAAACTGGTGTTTGAACATGCTTAAACAAGCAAAAACAGCTACTAAACGACCACTGTGATCTATAGTAACCCAAATGTGTTGTGAATTATTAAATATCTATTATTTTGTCAGCAGGCTTTACCTTAGACACAAATAATTGCTTGTGCAACCAGAAAAGGATGTGTTTTTTTCTCACGGTTATCAGAATTATAGTTGAGTAAAATGTCATCAACTCTTGATTAAGTGTTACTTAATTCAATTACATTTACACCTAAAACGTTTGGTTGTGAGTCAATAAAATGATCAGTTCTGCTGATGTGATTTAATTATTTCTGGGCTCCTTCTGAAACTGATAAGCTAAAACGAGTGATTAGAGAAAGATTGCACCATTCATGTCAATCAGCGGCACCATTAATCAATGTAACGTGACTTTGATTGTGATTTTTCTTTGTTTCCAGCAACCCACAGAGCCGTCTTGAGTTTTGTGAGCTGCTTCGCAGGAGGCGTCTTCCTGTCCGCTTGTTTATTAGACATCATCCCAGACTACCTCTCCGACATACATGTAGTGCTACAAAAACAAGGCCTTGATGTGAGCTTACTGAATTATTTATATCAATTATGGAGTTGCTCTGTTAAAGTCAATATGTTGATTCCATGTTTCTAATACGAATTCTCCTCATCTTGCAGGAGGGCTTCCCGCTTGCAGAGTTTATCATGGCGTGTGGCTTCTTCACCGTCTTGATCTTAGAGAAATTGGTTCTGAGCTGCACAGAGGGCCGCAGAAATGAGGAGACGGCTCCTCTTTTAGCTCCCGCGGGTCACGGTCATGCCCACGGACAGAACTCGCTGAATGATCTGGAGGGGAGTAGTCACCACATCCACGTGGATTTTCATGCGCACTCGTCCTTCCGCTCCTTCATGCTCTTCTTGTCTCTCTCTCTACACTCTGTGTTTGAGGGTTTGGCTATTGGCTTGCAGACCACAGACACTAAGGTGATTTATTGAGTTTTGTTTTGTTTGACAAGACAACTCTGTGTTGAGTCACTGTGCTGACCTTGTTAGAAAACTGATCAAGTTTTAGGTTCAAAGGTTTACAGTCCGATTTCGCATTGTGACTCAAAATCATTCTGTGTTTGTTGGGTTTCGTCCCGTTATGTTCTTAGGATGCCACATCTCTGGATAAATGTCGAAGGGTCAGTTCACCCACATATATAAAAATTCTTCCATCAATTACTCAACCTCACGTTGTTCCAAACCTGTATGACTTACTTTTTCTTTCATCTTTGGAACAGAAAATAATATATAAAGGTACAGAATATATGAAAATATACAGTTCAGAACTTCAAATGTAAAATTAAAATACTAAGGCAACCCAAACTCTTGGAGCATGTTATGTTCCTCATGGTTTAAGTTCCATTTCCCCTTAAAGGAGTACTTCACTTTTGCTGAAAATTTACTCACCCCCATGTCATCCAAGATGTCCAAGTCTTTCTTTCTTCAGTCAAAAAGAAATTAAGGTTTTTGATGAAAACATTCCAGGATTTTTCTCCTTATAATGGACGGTTCAAGGTCCAAAAGACAGTTTCAGTGCAGCTTCAAAGGGCTTTTTAGCACAGTTTTATAAGCACAAATGCTCACCTTGCTCGATTCTCCTGTTCGACCTGATTCATCAAAACGAACAAATCATCTGGTTTATTCAACGAACGAAATGACTAGAAAAAAGAAGTTAGAACAGGAGAGTCACGAATGCACATCACAGAAAAGAGCAAGGCGAGCATTTGTGCTTATAAAACTTAAACTTTGATATTTATTTTTGAAATGACTAATTCTTTCTGCTCAGGTGTTGGAGATCTGCATTGCTATCCTGGTTCACAAGAGCATCATTGTCTTCAGTCTGTCGGTGAAGCTGGTTCAGAGCGCGGTCAAGCCCATGTGGGTGTTGCTCTACGTGACGGTCTTCGCTGTGATGTCTCCTCTCGGCATTGCTATCGGCATTCTAGTGATCGAGGCTCAGCTGGAGGACGGTGCTTTCATCCAGGCGGTGCTAGAGGGATTGGCGGCCGGAACCTTTATCTACATCACCTTCTTAGAGATCCTTCCCCATGAACTGAACTCCCCTGAGCGGCCACTGCTCAAAGTTCTCTTCCTCCTCTGTGGATTCTCAGTAATGGCTGGTTTGAGTTTTTTGGGTTGAAAACTGGAAGAGACTTCCCAGACTGTGCATGATTTCAAGAAAATGAAAGGTTCACTTTGCTTGTTTTACAGAGGAACCGAGACTCTGTTTTTTTTTACAAGCGAAACGTTTTTTACTTTTACCAGATCATTTTACAATGAGTTTCAAAAAGTGTTTTAAATGACTTATGGTGGAGAAAAATGATTTTGCTGACCAGATTTCAGAATTGAAGAACAGTATCTCACCTGCAAATTGGGACTTATAAATATTTTTACTTGAATTTGATTTAACTTTTTTAACTGGTCAAAGTTTGTCAATGAAATTGTTTTCATGCCACTTTTGTGTTGTCTCCTTGATCCACAAAAGCACCCGTTTCCTTAATCAAAAAGTATTATACATGTATATTAAATACTAAAATACAAAATTTTCGTACATTATGAGCATTAACTGACATATTTCTTTATCTTTATTATTGTTATGTACTGTAAACACTGTTTTTCCCCCTTTATGTGCCACAGTACATTTTCAAGACAGCCAAATGTTTGAACGGTTTGTATTCATGATCATATAAAATCATAAGATTCCACAGTAAACTGGGTTGAAATGTGGTGTGTTCATTAAAGAACACAAATGTATATGGTCCTTAACCATATTAAATGTATGATTATGAAGAATATTTAAATAATTAAATAATGCTTTTCCAACTAGTGGAAAGAGCATTATGTTTTAGTGCAGACTGTGCCTTTAGATAGAGAAATAACAAATGACATGCTACTTATTCTGCTTTAAATGTCATTACCAAACACACTAAGGGCCGGTTCACACGGAACATGTTCCTCTTAAAAACTGAGGGCAGTGGAGCGAAAAAAAAAAATGTTTTTAAAAGTTGAATTTATTCTAACTTGAGCACCGCTTTTAGATTGCAGAGTGATGTACGAGATTCTGCAATAGACGCTCAAACATGTTCGCCTAGCACACGTTTACATTGAAAAACAATGGAAATAGTGGAATTGAAAAACAAGTTCTGTGTGAACGGCCCCCAAAGTCTTCTGAAAGTTAAAGTTTAGGCATACTGAGAGAAGTTACTATTTTTTTTTTCTTTTCTTTCTTTCTCAACATGCTTTGTTAGGAGCCGCAGAAAAGCATATAGGATCTGAAACGTGATTCAAAACATGATTTAGTCTCAAAATTAGACTTCTACATAGTACATACAATAACGGTAAAGTATTGACTGTTTAAAAATGGCATATTTCTAGTATACTTTTTGCAGTATAATGTATATTGCAATATGTTAATTTTCAGTATTCAATGAGTTGTACAGCATTCAACCAGACCATACTGCAAGAGAATCTGTATCCCACTATGTATTGTGCTCAACCTTTCCCACTGTGAACCCATAATATATACATCTCTTTTGGGTTGTTATTTAACAAAACTGCTCAAAGGTATGTTTTAACTGAATTAAAAATGCAACTTTTTATATTCCAGATACAGATGATAACTGGATGCCACTCATTATGTTACAACTGTTTAGCATAATATGGAATGTATATGGCTGCATATTGCATATAGGGTAGAAAAATTCTGGGAATTTTCAAAGATGGAAGCTTTCAATGGGAATTTATGGGAATAAAGTGGGAATTTTCAAAGTTGAGGGTTGGCTCTTCATTGGGAACTTAAAGGGTTAGTTCACCCGAAAATTAAAATCTTGTCAATATTTACTCACCCTCGTGTTGTTCCAAACCTCTATGTGTTTATTTGTTCTGCTGGACACAAAGGAAGATATTTGGAAGAATGTTTTAATCAAACAGATCTCATTCCCCATTGACTTCCATAGTAGGAAAAATACATACTATGGTAGTCAATGGGGAATGAGATCTGTTTGATTAAAACATTCTTCCAAATATCTTCCTTTGTGTTCAGCAGAACAAATAAACACATAGAGGTTTGGAAGAACATGAGGGTGAGTAAATACTGACAGAATTTTCATTTTTGGGCGAACTAACCCTTTAAATATAGTTGAGGAAAGCATAATCTTGACTAAAACAAACAGATGCCATTCAAATACACTTTAATATCCATCCCATTCCTCAATCACATGCACATAGAAAAATAGTTCACTAAATGAGAATGAAAAAAGATCTGTAAACTGAAAAGCAAATGACTAAATATGCTAATCCATAACTGTGCAGTGGCCGCAAAATGAATTAAAGCCAGACTTAAAATATATGCCTTTGCATTAAGTGTGAAATAAGTGTCCAAATAGTTTTTGGGGCCACTATAAAAAAAGTGCAGCACTAATGAGTGAATAGCTATGTACCGAGGAGCTTTTCTGTAGACAATGACTGGGGCTGCCGGGACGGGGAGGGTTGTTCGTTTGTGCATGTGCAGCAGAGCAGCAGGGTTTGTGACGGACACGTACAAGAACTGCTCCTCCACTGCTCATTATCGGCTTTTTGCTTACATGCCTGAATGGATGGCATCTGTGCAGACCTGTCGCTTGTCCTAAATCCCCCCCCTTCACACTGAATTGTTAGTATTCACTGCAATTATGAATGAAACGAGGCCAAGCAGGACTGCAATTTCGTAAATGGTGGCTAAACCTTTTCATTTTGGAAAAGCTTATTTTTATTTATAATATATTTTTGATTACAAAAAGTGCTCGCTGTATAATAAAGAGGGAACCACATCAAGGATTGCGGAGCGAGGATTATAAACCCAATGTCCTACAAAATGCGTTTAATAATCTTATTGTGAAACTCAGTCAATGGTCACTCACAGGATTAATGCCTTTCAGATCACAATCCGTACGTGCGCTTGGTTTGGGCTGGCATAGTTTTAAGGGAATCAAGAATTAACTGTTATTTTGTTATAAAAAGAACTTCTATTTAATTTGCAGCTTGTATGTGTTGATCTAATCTAGTCTGGGACTAAATCAAAGCAGAGATTCAAGGCTCTAATCCAGATCACCAGAGCTAAATCTTTACACAGAGTAAGTGCGGATGGGGTGAATGGGAGACACTCCAGGGATTTGGCTGCCATCTTGCTCCTTGAAATGAAATTTTAAGCACCAGCTGCATCTGTTGACTACTTCTGGTAACCTCAAACACTCTTGTTTTTGCTATCCACCTTATTATTTTTTTAAAGTCACCATGAAATCAAAATTGACCATTCTTACTAATGGAATATTGCAATAATTATTATCAAGATAATTAAAAAAAAAATCATGTTCCCTCATAATATTTAATCAAAATAGATTCCCCTCCCTCTTGCAGCGACATCTCTTCCCTGATGATGTGTTTACTGGTGTTAGGGCGGGACAACCTGTCACTCACATGAGATCGACTAATAGCAAACCACGGCCATCCAATCAATTCCCCTTGGACAAAATCAAGTCCCAGACTAAATTTTTTTTCTTATTCACTTGGATATACGTCACAATAGTGAAGAAAAGACTGTTACATCCACTTATTTTTGCTGTGCAAAATAGCTTGTTATAAGCTACTTGATTTTGCAAACTGGAAATTTTGAACACACTGGTTTGTAGCACAACCTTTTACTGCACTTTGTCATTCTTCAATTTATTTATATAGCGGTTACTGAATGGGAAGTCTCACACATTTACAGAAAACAGCTTACTAACGTGTTGCAAAATAGCTAGAAAGTTGAAAAACCTCTGAGATAGAGTACAAATTAAAGGGCTTTTTTTTTTTTTTTTTTGGAAGACAATGTGAGTTCTTGACCGTGCAAAACTTAAAGGGCATTCTGAGTGACGGACCACAATTGAATTTATTTTAAATAATGGAAAAAATACACAATTCTACATTGTACTATTTGTACTACATTGTGACCTCCAAAAGTAAAAAAAAAAATTCAAACCCATCCATTCTCCAAACTGCAAACATTTAAAAACTTGAAAGATCAAACAATGGTAATCAGTTACTTAGTATATTATTTGCTATATATTGCTAATGTAATCTATTCACATTTTCTTTGTGAACATCACCAACAGTACACATCATAAATGGAGCGTGACAGAGAAAATATGTTCAGTGCTCACCGTTCACCGCATCACTGCTCTCTGTAGATCTGTGCGTCCTCATTCAGTGGACAGAGGCTTCTGTATAAAGGGCATAAGTAATTCCATAGATCATTACATTTTCCATAAAAAAAAAAAAAAAAAATCACACTAAAAGGTACACTATGTAACTTTTCTGGTTCAAAATTAAAGTCCCTGTAAAGGCAATTCTAAAAAACACATTATTAATGTTAGAAATATATTGCTAAAACATATTACAAAGACTGTGAACTGTGAAGTACTGAAATGTGGAGTTAGACCGTTAAACAGTTTTTCACCATTGCTATTTTCCTGATTTTTTGGGCGGGGCTAAAACAGGGATCGATGACGCACTGGAGCCCAAGAGCTCGTAGACACACCCCAACTTGATGACGCACTGAGGCCACTGAGGCTGGCCCCTCCTCTAACAATAGAGCACATTTGCATCTGTTTGGCGCTCAACCTAGATGGAGAGCTGAGGATCACCGCCAACACCCGCCTCTGTGAAGTGATCATTTTACACGGGATAGTTCTATAAACTTTCGTCAGAGACAACTGGGATTCACTGATAATCCGCTGTTACTGGTTAATATAATTAGTTATTATAAACACATTTTTTTTCTGTGGTGTGACAAACTCAGAACACATACTTAATTTTGACTTTACAGGGACTATTTAATTATTTTTTCCAAAACGTGTTTTTGTCTTACCCTGATTCACTATGTTAAGCCTATTATAAAGCGTTTTAGACAGGGCAGGATGGTTTTTGCAGGAAATTGCGTACATGCGTCACTCGCCCGTGCGCCTCTTCATATCCGTGAATAGAGAAAAGTTGCTCCAGCTACTTTGACGTGTGTATGGTGTATGAGTGGAATGGGTTAACTGTCACAACAAGTGAGAAAGGCTGACATGGATCGGACTAAATCTCGAACATCCGGGGAATCAAAAAAAATAAATAAATCACTATGCTTCTCAAGTAAATGTATCTTCATTCAAGAAAGTTTACACTGAAAAAAATATTTTCATGATTTGTAATCACAATATTTTTTCTTTCGTCAAATCACCTTAAATAATTTATTTATTTCAGATATATTATTTGAGTATCTAATGATTAAATCAATCTCATTGATTATATGAACTTTTTCCATTTCAATGAACTTGAAATTTTAAGGCAACTGGGTTACTTCATTTTTTAAGTTAAACCAACAATATTTTTTGTAAAGAAAATTCTGGGTATACTTTTTTTGTTTTTGTTCTTTTGCCGTAAACCCTTGCATCTGATGCCAAGTTTTTTTGTAGAAATGTTAAAATCGAATTGCATAATATAATGATAGCAGTTCATTAGTTAGAAATGTCATGAAACCATGGATTGACTTTTTTTTTATGAACTACTGATCTGTTCTATGTTTCTTGTTTACGTAAAACAAGTTTGCGTATAGCTCATCATCATAAACTCAACAATTAAACAAAACAACAGTCTTATCCCTGAAATTACTAGATCACACTCATTTTTGTCCACCAGATGATGTTTAGTTGTTGGTCCCGTTCGGCCCCTCCCCTCATGCGTGTTTATTATGTAGCTTACATGAATCTGTTGTGAGTTATGGGGTGTGACAGGTTAATCTCAGCCCTCCACAGTCCTCATCACCCCTCTCCTCTCTCAGCCCTTCTCCGAGTCACTTCTGAATCGCCCTCGGCTGAGGTAAGTCACAGTCTTTGAGTGTTATTAAAGTTGCAGGCTTGCTGTGTCTGAGCTGACAGGCTAAGAGGATGCTGAGCTAGATTCAGGGTCCACTGACTGATACTTCAAACATGCTTTTTATTAAATGACTGATGCTGGTATTTAGCTTAATCCATTAGTTGCCATTTCAATTGTTTGTTGTCGTCTTACAAATCTCGGGAGTTTATTCTGTTCTCTGATCAGGAAAACTGCTTGATGAAATGTTTTGTTTTTTCCCCAAAAAACTTTCAAACAAGGTTTTCTCAAGCCAATATTCCCTTTTATAAATATATTTAAATGGAGTTTGAATTAATATGACTAAATTACATTTGCTTTTTTTCCCATCAGTTATGTATTTAAGTTATTAGGCTACTGCATCAGTAAATCCTGGAACGTTAAATTTTTATGTTTACATCAAATATAGACTTAAACTTCACATTAATTAATGAAATATATATATATAAAGTAACTAAATGATGCCCAGATTGAAAATGAGTCATAAAAGATAATCTTAAATAAATTGAAGATTATTGCAGCAGAGATTCAAAAAGCCTTTTTGGAAAAACGATCCTAAGAGTAGCCCTCAAACCGTATTCACTTTATAGCCCTAAATCCACATTTTTATTTTGGTGGTATTTTTGAATTTATTTACTTCAAAAAGTACCATATTTTCTATGCAAATTATGCTTATTTTATGTTTTATTTTTTAACTACATTAAAATATCATTCCAATACGTTCTTAGAGCTAAAACCTAAAGATGAAGTGACTTTGCTGTCATCTTATTTTGGCTTATTTTAGAACGCTCTAAATTACAGTTTTTCCCATTCATTTCTATGGGTGCCCATTTTTGACCCAAATGCAAGATTAGTTGTTTTTTTTCACCCACTTAACATTGTAGAATTGAGTCAAAAAAAAAAATTTGTGTGTGTTCAGGAGGCAAACTTAGGAAAAGTAGCCAAGTCTTGTACCGCTCAGATGAAGAGAAGTATTTTTTAAAAATAAATCAAAACTATTTTGCCCACATTCGTCCAGAATACGGTTTTAGGGATAAACCTTCCCATGACCTTTTTTTTTTTTTTTTTTTCAAAATAATATATGGCTTTATTTATAAATTAGATCATCTAAATGCAAAATGTGTAGCTTTATTTAATTCTCAAATTGATTAAATCTAAAAAAAAAAATAATAAAGTGACAAAATATGAAATATCATTTTTACAGTTTCCGTTCAGCCACTGGAGCATCTCAGCATCATGGCTGCTGTAAGTACACTATTATTTCTACTTCCATAATAAGCACTTAAAAGACTGCATTAACTCGACTGTTGAATGCACTCCGTGGGATGAACTAATCTCTTGTTTCTCAAGGTGTTCAAGGGGGTCATGTGATAGGGATTATTAAACAGTCACTGGTTTACTAAGAGTTGCAATTCTAACCAGCAGGGTTATGTAGACACGGATTAGTTTTCTCTAAACCCTCTTGTCTGTGGCAATATAATGCTTATTTTCCTTTTCATCCCATTAGACTGGAACATTTCGCATGGTGTCTGAGGAGGAACAAGAATTACGTGCTAAGCTCGAACATCTGACTGTTAAGGACCACGGCCCGGTGTACGGACCCTGTAAGAAAGTCTTGGATCACACAAAACAGAAGGTATCACTGTACTTCACGCTGCTATAAACACATGTATCTTTAAGTTCCACATAAACCTTGATAAATGTACCTTCCTATCTCAAAGGCTAAAGATGAACTAAATGAAACGGAGGAGAGGAAAGTGTCTTCTATAAAGGAATTGAGGGCCATGATAAAAGAAAAGGCGGACGAAGGGGACGATCTGGCCAAAGCTGTGCAAGAAAAATTCAGGGACAAACCAGATTCCCTTCTGCTGAGATTCATACGCGCACGCAAGTTTGACGTGAAGAGAGCACACGAGCTTTTGAAAGGTAAAGCGCTATACCGTGGCATCAATGCATTTACACGTTTGCGCCATTGTTTCCAAGCTAGGCCGTGTTATTGTGACCATCTAAATATGCTTTTGTCTTCATCTACGCATCCTCAGACCTCCTCGTCTCTGGGACAGGGACAAAATCTCTGCTTTAATTGGGGCTTTAACGAAACTTTCAAAGAGACCCTTTGTGCACAAATAGGGCAGGTTCTCTTTCTCAAAGGGGCTGAGAACAGCCAGACAGGCTGGGCTTTAATGTTCTGCATATTTCACACAATCTGGCATTTCTAATACACATGCACAGCCACAGAAACACTTGCACACATGACTGAACCTTTAAATGCATGAGAAACAGGCACGAAATACTGCATTAATGGAGACAAACACACTA